CAGTATTGTATTGACGGGATACAGTCAACGCATGTACATGCACATAAAAGTCGCCTTGCGTTCTTCACATTTTAAAAGTTGGCTCCTAATTTTTCGGGTCGCCTGTGATTTGATTGGACGCTTGATCTTTTTTCAATGACTGACATTGAAAGACGTACGAGGGGCAATGAGAATCTCAGAAAGGGTAGTTTGTAGTAATTAAAGTTTTTATATATAGTTAATTTACCCTATATCCCTACCGTTTATACTTATAACAAGAACCGTCTTTCGCTGGAACATTTCATACGTATTGATCTTCTCCTAGGACAGAAAGCCCAATAGTAATCCTTAATCTTGCAAGCATGTCTCTCATCTCGTTGTGGCATGGCAAAGTTCTTTGGATCCCAATCCAGCTTCTTCACTAGTCGAATACGTAGACTTCTACAGGGCCTTCTAAGTAATGCGCGCCGGGTATAATTCAAACCTCTGCCCCCATCGGTACCATTACCCCTAAAGCAAATCGTCTCCAGGAGACGAAATACAAAAGATATCGTCGTCAAGCCGGGGTAAATCAACGGGACTGGGGTTCCGCCAATGGTGGGTTCCACTGATCCCTATTCTTTAGAAAGGACCTTGAATGAACAATCCTTGGAAGTGCAACACCTTTTGTAGATAACCCCCGACGAGACTCTAACTAACTAGCTGGTAGACCCCCCTTCTTATGTTTTGCGTTCATAACATTTGGAACAAGACAGCTTTACAAAAATAGTTGCAGCAAAATAGGGTTAGAAATGCAATGCACGGAATGCGATGGGCGCAATCTGGACAAAGGATGTGTTGCCAGCGACAAAGAATGTTTTGGCGGCTCCGACTTCCACCTTTCACTACGGTAGCCATCCATTGTCCACCGTATTATTGCAAAACTAGCTAGCTGGTTCTTGGCTCGGTTTGTCTTGAGGTTAAATGCATAATGGAACGAAAGTGATTGATTGGACCAAATCTTGGGGTTGTTCCAACATAGCAATAGTCTCTGCTTCCATCCGTTCCACTTCCACCACTTCATAGTTTGGAGCACTCGGATGGAACCGAACGATGAACATGGATCTCACTTTGATCCCGTATTCGGTCTCAAAGATCTCCCGATACAGATTGAGCTGCTTGCAATTCCTGTCATAGTTGCTATCTTGTAGAATCCCATGTTTGCTTCGTTTCCAGTCGTACATAGTGTACGTACCATCCTCATTCTGGACAATCAAGTCAACCTTGCCTGCAAGTTTGTGTTCGCTGGACAAAAGATTCTTTTCTGTCCGATACGCTGTCAAGTAATATTCTTCCAGAAAAGCTAGAAACTGTTTCCACTCCTTTCGGCTCTGGTCATACTCTATTTCTTCATTTTTGAAGTACGCTTCAATGGCTTGATGGAGAAGCCTGCCTTCCTCCATGGCGGCCTCACCATTGATCCTCCACATTTCCAAGATCTCTCTTTTGGATTTCTTGTAGTACATGGGATGCTTAGTTTGCTGCCATCGATCATAATGCTTGTCAATCACCGCAGAGCGGTCAAATTTTGTACAGACTTCATCCAGCAGGCTGGTTACCACGCGTATGAATTGGTTGCCGTACCGGTAGTTGAGTTGCGGGGTCCTATACATGGTTGGGGAAAGCAAGAAATCAACAAAAACCTTTCGTCAGTCTATGGGCTCGAACTGACGAAAAAGTTCTTTGTTGATGTCTTGGCTGCATGTATCTTGGGCTGATTTGATTCGACCTGGACCGAATTGAGAAAATGTGAGGATAGTCTCAAGCTACCACCGTACCGAAGCAGTCACAGATCCAAACGGCAAGGTTTCCCAATCACTCGGTGTACTGTAGACGTTTAAGCAATACTCATGTTCACAAATGGGGAGAAGAGATGGTGAACCGTAGTCACGTCAACAAACGCAAGTCTCGCATCGTGTACGGGTACCATACCGGTACCAGTACCAGGTACGTACCTGACAGCAAAAGTCACAGTCATTACAGGTACTGGACACCGACCGGTACAAGTACCGGTAAGGTTTCAATCAGGATGTCACAAAATATGCTTTTTAAAAGACAGCCGGTCTGCAAGCGAAACTTTACGGTGGGAAGCTTCTGCAGCCAACCTTTCAAAGCACGATGATGATGGTACCTGGTACATCGATGTACCAGGTACTTCGAATGTACATGTACTGCTGGCTAGCATTAGGCTAGTGGTGGATACAGTACGGTATCATGGGCCAAGATGGCTGACTGGAGCAAAAGGGCAACGATTGGTTTGGAAAGTATTGCCCGGCTATTAATAGCTAGCCATTGACTTTTGCTTCCTTTCTGCTTGCAGCCGAGATGTGCAGCCAACAATCTCAAGAAGAACTTCCAAATTCATGCTCTAGCTCAAGCCGTATCAGTACTATCATAGTGTTAGTACAGCGAGCGATTGCTTCCTCAGGCTCAAGGCAAGCAGAGCCCAAGCCAAGCACACCCTAAAAACATGTACTCCATCTAGCTAACCAAAGCATCTGCCCGCAACTCCTGCAACTCGAGTTGTTGGCGAGGAGCGAGGTATATCGTAAATAATTGACTGGAGGGGAAAGTGCCAGGAGACAGAACCAGAAGGCAACCGGAACAGCTTGGGTGCCCAAGCTGTTCACATTGCGACGAATGACTTCGCCACCTCAGTCTTATGTTGCTCATCAGTCATCAGTTAGTTAGTTGTTACGCACAGACTGTCCAGTCAATCGAAAGGGGCTCACTTACTTTTCACCAGAGACCCTGCATTAAATTCTGTCGGAAAATGTGGGTCCACTTTTCTAGCTGCTAGCTAGAGTAGCTACCAATAGCACTGATAGTAGCTATGCTGCTCGTACAGCTTATTATTGCTCCCGATTTGCTTCCGTTTGAGGGTTTGATGAGAGGGTCATCGGTCCAAGCGACTCCAGGGTCCAGGGTTCGGACAGTGGCAATGTGAAGTAGCTCTGTTGGATATAAGGGAGAAAGTATGGGCAATATGCAATATGGTAGCTGGGCCTTCGTTTGGTATTATAGATAGATAGATAATATCCAGTGAGCTTCCAGTGTTGTCAATAACAGTACTAAACAGCAATTATTAATTATAGATTCGTTGCATCAATTGGGATGGAATGAAAGGAAGGAGGCTAAAACTACTAGGAACAGAACGAACAGTCAGTGGCCAAAATGAGAAAATCAATAAGTATGTGAGATTCTGCTGTTTCTCCGTTTCCTTCGGGATATAGGATATAGGCCTTGAGGCGAATGAGAGATCTGAGAGATCACGCACCATTCTTTAGATTGGTTTTAGCATGCTGCTAGCTGCTAGCAAGGTGCCACAAAGAATCCTGTTTGGACGTTTCTATCATAACTAGCTAGTCTAACTGGCAACACCACTCTTCCAAAAGACCGAAGCCCGTCTACTTATTACCGTGGCAATAACACAGCTGTAGCAACCATAATATCGCTTGCACAGGGACCCTTTTATGATTGATACATTCAACTCTTATCCTTGCAATACTAACCACTCGAGTTGCTACGTGCTAGCTAGCTAGCTAGCTATTAAAGCTAACTAATCACAAGCCAAGTCGAAATGATCAGAAGCAGCACTACTAGTAGTACTAATAAGGAATCCCAAGCTATGAAAGGTACCAACACTGCATGTACTGAAAGGGGCTCTGAAGCTACCAACGAGGCGGCTCAGGCAGCTCAGGAGGATGCCTTTGACGTTCTAGATGTTGTGGCGGCGCGTATCCGAGGAGACACCCAAGACGGGCTCTTTCTCGAAAAGTTGGAGGCCCGAATAGTCAGGGAAAAGACTGCCTCGATTGCTGGTGGTAGTATTACTAATACTGGTAGTACTGTTATCAACACTGAGGAGGATGAGCTCAAAGGCAAAGCTGGATTGTCCTCCTCTTGTCAGAAGGAGGGAAAAGTCTTGAAAGAAGATGCACAGCAGCCAAAAGAGCCGCCAAAGACCAAGACAATGTCATCTGACTTGACATCATGCTCTTCCAACGATAAGAAAGAGTCGACTTCAGACAGTGCCAATCAGCAGATGATGATTGCGGAGAATAACTGTCTGATCCCGGGGGCATATGCGGTAGCACCCGGTGCCTTGGAGGAACGAGCCACGACCATTTGTCGTTCCCTCGTGGGGGCTGCATCCTCCTCGGATGAGTTCTCCGTGGAAGCTAATGATACTGAAGAGGGTCTTATCGATCCAGAGCTCGGTCTTCCATCCTCCACAAGAGCTCAGAGTACTGGTACTACTATTAGTATGACTGGTTTGTCTCTGCAAGAAGAAGAACTTCCATCCCCTCCTCCCACCAACATGGAGGAACAAACTTCCCGGTCTCTGCTTCCTCAAGATGACACTGGTTCAAGTGATAATAACAGTGGCCTGGCTGTGGCAGACCTGGTAGAGGAAATACAACCGGACCAGCTACCCCAAGCCCAAACTATGGATGCAGAGCAACAAAAAGGGTCACATCCAAAGAGGAGGCAAAGATCAAAGGAGATCAAGACAATTGCCTTTGTAGCTGTCATTCTCCTCGTGGCGGCCTTGGTGGTCGTCATTGCGATCCTTGTTCCCACAAAGGACAACGAGACCAGTCCATCCAGCCCACCAATAACCTCCAGTCCTGTCGCTACCACAGCAGTCCCTACCACTGATGTGCTTCCGTCCTTTCTTCTCGGCAACAACGAAACCCTGCAAGCACTCCAAGATCCAGACTCTCCTCAATCCCAAGCATACACATGGCTACTGGAACTCCACAACCAAAACAACTACTCCAATGCACGTCTTCAGCAACGATTTGCCCTGGCCACACTCTACTTTGCCACCGGTGGTCAAGCTTGGGGAGACAATACTCACTGGCTCAACCACAGCGTCCACGAATGTGACTGGTTCCAACAACCCAGTTTTGCACTCAAACATGTCATTGCCATGTACGCCAGTGGATATCTGGCAGGGTTCTTGGAACCAACGGACAATAGTACTACTACCATCACACCCTGTGACAGTGATGGAGTCTACCAACACTTGTGGCTCGATCAAAACAACTTGGCAGGATCACTACCCACAGAGCTCTACCTGTTGAGCTCCTTACAGACATTGTCCATGGGACGGAACTCTGCACTACAAGGAGTAGAGCTGTCCAGTTACATGGGACAGTTGACAGCCTTGCAAGGGCTTTCCTTGGAACAGCTTCAGTTGCAAGGCACCATTCCTTCCGAGATTGGGCTAATGACGGACATGCAGGTGCTCTTTTTCATGAGGAATCAACTGGAAGGCTCACTTCCGTCTGAACTCTGGCAGCTCACCAATTTGGTGCACATGGCATTGTACGGCAATCCACAGTTGGAAGGAACTGTGCCTACAGAGATTGGGACCATTTCCAACCTAAAGACGTTTGCAGTGGATGAACTCAATCTTTCTGGTACGTGCTTTCAAATATTTGTGACACTGAAATTGGATTACAGATTGTACACAAGAGTACTATAGCATGACTCACACTTCTCCTACCATTGAATTCTTGCTGTAGGTACCATCCCAAGTGAACTGGGAAAGCTGAAAGAGTTGTCAGTTCTGGTCTTCCAGAAGAACTCGTTCCAAAACACGCTGCCAACAGAGTTGGGACTCTTGACATCACTGATTGTGCTGCGAGGCCACAGCAATCAATTATCCGGTCCACTTCCCAGTGAACTGGGGTTGCTCACAAACCTGCAACAGTCACTGAGCTTCCAGGACAACCGGCTGTCACAAACCATCCCCACCGAGCTGGGGCTCTTGACCGGGCTGGATCAACTAGTGCTCGATGGAAACCAGTTTTCCGGTCAAATCCCCGCCCAATTTTGCGACCTTGCTGCGGTCAAGCTGTTGAGTCTTTCCAACAACTCCTTGTCGGGGAATTTGCCGACGGAACTGTCCTCGCTGCAACCCCATGCCCACACCATTCGTGTGGATGGGAATCCGTTGCTATCCGGGACGGTTCCCGATGGTCTCTGTGCTCTGAATGGCACATGCATCGGCACGGCGTGGAACCCCTGCAGCTCTCCAACGGGGTTTGTGTTTGATTGCACCGACACACTGTGTGGCTGTGGTTGTGATTGCACAAATATTATTCGTAGCTATAGTGGTGGTGGGATGAAATGAAAACGCGAGAGGGGTAGATAGGGTAATCTGTAGTCATGGCTGGCTAGCTATAGCAAATAGAGTGGATTTTGCTTCCATGATCGTTCAATGCTGTTGAGTACCGGTACCGTACCGGTATGCTCCTCATGAGTTCGCGTATTCCCACTGATGAGGAAACTGGTTTGTCATTGCCTGGTCCGTATTCGGGTTGGCCTACACCGGAAGTAGCTCTACAAGTAAGTACTGTACTAGTATATGTTTTGGGAGCTACGGGGCTGTATTCGGATTCTCATTCCGATCCTTCTGGACTGGGTATTTGAGCTTGCCCATTACGAGGCGGACTCGGAGCTGCCCAAACCAGCCAGCTGTTGGTCTTAACGGTGGACGGCGGAACGATGCAACGAGAGCTCGCATTATTGGGATTCACACCCTTCAGATCCTTCTTAAAGTTTTGAGCTTGCCCAATTACGAGGAAGACTCCACTCGCTCGGAGCTGACCAAGCAGGTGTTGGGGTTGGTCGTAACGATGGCTGGCTGGTGGGCAGAAGAAGAATACAACGAGGGAGCTCACTGTCTTGATCTCTCCAGGCAATCGCTCGGGGGCGAATCAAGCAAAACACGTAGATAATTTCCCTACTCTAAACCCCCCATTGCTAAGACGAGGCAGTTGCAAATTACTTGGTTTTAGCTACTGGTGTGGCTATACACTTTCTCACCCCGCCCGCCCGTGATGCTTGAGCCCACCCACACATCCTATATATTGCAAGGCTGTCACCGGTACCGGTAGTACCTCCGGTTGGGAACACCACGTAGCAGCCAGCCATAGCTAGTTGGCTGCCCCATGATGACATGCACACATGACAAGACTACAGTAGCACTACTAGCCAGACGAGGGTCCACCGTACATGCCACAAATGGATTCTTCAATGACCAAGAGACATCCCAATCGTTGTCGAATGGACAATTCCTTGCCGGTAATCAAACTGATGCGAGTGCGGCGTCGTCCCAATCGTCCCTTGCTGTCGGCTGCTACCAAGTCTTGTTGGGGACGTGTCATTTACATGAGCAAATGTCGGGGCGCACATTGACCGTAGGAATCGAATCCAAGATTTGTTGATGGGGATCAAAGACAATGTTGGGAGTACGACTGTAGTACATGTAGAGACTCGTGACTCCTTCCTCGTCCAAAGTCAGACAGGGCTGTCCAGAGATTGCCGAAAAAGTCGAGGGACATTGTGGTTGGTTTCCTGGGGTATCAGAAGGGTTAAGAGGATGATCACTATTAGTACATGTACTAAATTTAACGCTCGGAGTCCCAGAATCTGGGAGTCACCCCTGCAAACTCGATACTGTACCTCTACCAGTACGGTACCTTTACTCTATGTTACTCTATCAAGATGATGCTATCCTCTTTACAGCGGCTGCTCCTCTTAACAAAGGCTACTACTCACCACCATGACAGGCTCCTCTTGCTTGGCTACCCGTAGTGGCAGCGGCAGCCGTTCGACGATCGGTCGATCCGTTCGACGGATACCTCGACGGATACCTCGACGACTGAGCGACTCTACCGTTAATGAAACAACAAGGGACTACTTCTAATGCAACAAGCGACTACTTCTAATGCAACAAGGGACGCCTCGACAGCCGTCTTCTTCGATTCCGGTTCAACAGAACCTCTTTTGTACATGATGGCAGACTCATCAACCATCAACCGACAATTCAAAGGAAGACAGGATATTCAGGTAGATGCGGGAATAAAATAGAAATCTGACCCAATATTTACCACACCTACCTGTAGAGACTCCCAGATTCTGGGAGTGGGGTCTCCCAGATTTTGGGAGTGGGGTCTCCCAGATTTTGGGACTCCGAGCGTTAAAAATGTAGATATCGATAATCGTGTGGACCTTCCACCAGAAAACAGCTGCTTGTTACTGAAGAGGTTCCATGCGACGACAACCTCTCATCCCAGACCCTCTGGCTTATTACCTTAACTTTGAGCCCACTCGATCACACTACGTATGTACTGGTACTGGCAAACATGCGGAAAGATGCAAAAATGAGGAAAACCTCTGGAACACTTCGTAAACACACTGCAATTCCTACTTAATGTCCCTGGGAGCATTACTGGAAGATGATTTTGTGATCAAAAAGCCTTTGTGCCCTGGATTGTATCAGTATCCTTAACTATCGGTACCGGTTCCACCAAACTAAGAACGAGATTACTATGTAAGCACATGGCAACTTTGTCCTACGATTTTTAAAAAAATAATTGCTTGACTTTGTCTGTAGTAATTCTTTTTCTCTTTGTTCTTGGCTCGGTCTCCACTCGAATCGAATGATTCAATCGCAGCATTCAAAGCCTCAATCCGCAGGCTTTTTCTACCTTCTTCTCCATTTCAATGTCCACCGCGTCTTCTGTAGTTTCGGAATACTTCTTCGCGAGATCCTTGAGTTTGAGCTGCTTTGACTGTGCCGCTTCTTCCTGTTTCAGCTGTTTCTTGAGACGATCGAGTTCACTTGATTTGACGCCGTGCCCTGCATCTTCGATCTGTTTCTTGAGACGATCGATACTTGCAACTGGCAGCTTTCGACGCCCACAGCGTTTTTCGGCTTCTTCTTCCACTTTCTTATCCATCGCATCACTCACCACTTTCCTCACAGCATCCCGAGCTTCATCTTCATCCTCGGAAGCCTCATCTTGAGGTTCATCCTTGGGTCGATTCAATGCTGCTGCAGCTTCATCCTTCTCCCTCTGCAAAGCTTCTTCATTTTGCTGTTTGGCCTTTTCCTGCTCGTCATTGCGGACGTCTTCATTGGGGATTTCTCCCTGTTGGTTGCGTTCGGCACCTTCATCGCGATCTTCCGTATCTCCGTCGGAACTTTCGTCCCTGCTGGATCTGTCACATTTAAAAAAATAAGATGCACAGGAAATTAATAGAGTGAGTTTTGTAAGCATGAAGGCAAAAAACTTTTGGTCGACCTTTCTGTACTCTACCGTTTGCTGGCACTGGCACCGGCGCCGTCACTGTCACTGGCACCGGCACCGCTACTCGTATCGCCACTGCTGTCATTGTTGCCCCCATTGTTGCCATCACTACTGTTGCTCTTGCGGCTGCTGCGGCGCTTGCGACGATCGCGACGATCGCGATCGAGCCTGCGACCTCGGACCGAGACGGCTTTCACATCCTTCGACTTGTGATGCTTCCGGTTGTCAACAGTGGTGGCTGCCGTTGCCATTGCCGAAGCTTCGGCATCGTTGACCGAGTTTCGTAGATAGCCATTTTGAGCAGCAGCAGCTTTGATCGCACAGCCAAACAGAAACAACAAGCTCCATAGGATCTTCATCTTGCTTTGAGGTTGGGCTGAATTCTTCTGAGTTTTTTGTTTGGTTGCAATCGATCGGAACTTCAGATTGTGAGCAAAATGCGACCCTCTCTGGATTGGAGTAGGTACCGGTACGGGTAGAAGATGACAGGAAGATACCACAAATGCCATCTGGCCCTTCTGGATACCTCACTCGGGTCCCTACGGTACAGAAGATTGTACGTAGCATACGAGTGACGGTGGCATCTTTCATGGATTCAAGGCATGTAAGCTTTCCCATGCTTCCTATTGGAAGCTTGGTCTTGCTAATCTCTTGGGCCCAACTGGGTCAGGGGCTTCTCAACTCATAGATACTCTGCCAGAGGCCCTGCAGTATTCATTGGTGCCTTCTTGGCTTGACACCTTCACGTTGCGATGCCTATTGGAAGAAACCAAAGGCCCTGCAGTTTTTCTTGGTTCTTTTGGACTTAAAATAATGCTCCGCCAGAGGCTTTGCAGTCTTCTATGGATGGATGGTGACATGAGGGCAATCTGACATGGCTTCAGGCTTCAGGCTTCAGGCTTCCTTGAATCGATCGATGAGGGTGAGATGCGCACCAAGATCAAAAATCTTTTACATGTTTCAACTGAGTGTTCGATCCCCGGTCCTCAAATGACCAAAATTTCCGGGTTCCCAAGATGCTTACTGGAAGTTTTGGTTTGCAAACCGCTTACTCTTGATCCTGGGTGTTCCTTTGTCAGCTCCACAGAGTCCCAGTTCTACTCCTTTGGCTGAAAGGACCTCTGCCAGGAGCTATGCAGTCTTGCAAACCTCTTAGGCAGTATCCTGGGTGTTCCTTTGTCAGCTCCACAGAGTCCCGGTTCTACTCCTTTGCTTGGCTGAAAGGCTGAAAGGACCTCTGCCAGGAGCTATGCAGTCTTCCTATTATACCCCGCCACCGGTACAGGTGTTCCTTTGTCAGCTCCACAGGAACACCCACGATAAAAGTCTTAAATGACTGTATTGAAGCCTTCTAAGTCATATGGCCGAACTCTAGTCGTGATTGTCGGAATTCTGAAACCACGATGTCGGAAAATGTCGGCGTTTGTACGAGAATGTCGGCGTTTGTACGAGAATGTCTGCATTTGTCGGACAATGTCTGCAAAATGTCGGAAGGTTTCCGGACATTTCAGCGAGAATTTTCCGACATTTAAAACGGATGACTTTCGCTGGTTAAGTCGTGTTCTTCACTGGTTGGTACTTTCTCTTTGATAGAACCCTAGGATTCGGAACCCTGTAAACTCATTCAACGGTCCTCTAATCGTAAATGTCGGATTTAACTCGCCGAAATGTCGGCAAAATGTCGGCAGAATGTCGGCAATGTCTGAGAATGTCGGCGTTTGTACGAGAATGTTGGAGTTTGTATGAGAATGTCTGCATTTGTCGGAAAATGTCGGGACATTGTCGGAAAACTTTCTTCTGTCATTTAGGCCATATGATTTAAGAGCAGTGCCGGTCATATATCTTTAAAAGACTTTATCGAGAGTGTTCCAGAGTCCCGGTTCTACTCCTGAAACTAGTATTGAAAGATCTTGATTACGAATTATGAAGTCTATGTCACACCGGTCCTCAAATTCAGAGTGAAACTAATCGAAGGACTAGATTACGAATTGTGAGGTCAACGTCACGCTCCTTTGGCTGAGAGGACCTTTACCAGGAGCTATGCAGTCTTCCTACCCCCGCCACCGGTACAGGTATCCCATAGGTTTAGGTACGAGCTGCCATGGCACCTTTGGCCACGATGTTTTAGATTTCTTGTTGGGATATTGGAACTGGATCTCATTGGTCTTCTATTAGCTAGTAGCAGTACTTGTTGCTGCCTGACTATAAGCCAAAGCAGTCTCTGTTCTGAAGTGATCCTCTTGAGCGGGCTACTTGCTCTCACAATTTTCTGATTGGAGTTCGAAAACCGATTGGAGAAGACAAAACTGCAGCTAGTGGCTACTCAAAATGAAGACGTCCTTTTCCGTCAAGCTTGTGCTTGTCGTCGCCTTGTTCCTGGATTGGACGGCCCAGGTGGACGGGTTTTGGTCGAAAAGTCTTACGAAGCAGTTGAAGGCGCCAAAGAAAGAGAAGGAAGAGAAAGGTGCAGCCAAAGATGAAGCCAAGAAGAAAAAGGAAGCGGACATGAAAAGGCAAAAGGAGCTGGAGAAGCAGTATCTGAAATATAGTAAGTGTGCTTGTACCGTATCGCGAAACTCGATCCTCAACTCGGGAACATGGCCACCACTGACCCAATTCTCAATTCTGCTTTCCTTATCCCCCACCTCTCTTATCAGGCGAGGGGATCTTTATCCAAAGTATGGCCAGGGGAAAAAGTTGGCTCACTGGTGGCCGAAGCGATAAGAACAAAAGCGTATATGTCCAGGACCTCACAAAAAAAGGTGAGGAAAAAAAGCACTACACGTGGCGGATTATTGCTGGTTCTGTGTCGGGCGGAAAATTCCACGAGAAAAAGTAAGTTGTGGATAAAAGGCATGAACTATGAAAGCCGGTGTGCTTTGTCGCCTTCTCACTCCACCTTGTCTGCTTGTGTTGTCACAGAAAAGGAACTTGTGTGAAATATGGCGATTGGGTTTGGCTCCAGGTCATTGGAACTAAGACGTGGATGAGACGAGGTCAAAATGGTGTTGGCTCAGGTTTGAGCCACAGAGACGTACCTTCTACTACTTCTGGTGACGCCACTAGAAAATATGGGGACAAAATAGAAGACCTTTACTTGTGGAAGATCACGAGTGTGAACCCAATGTCGACAAACCCTGCTAAGGACAAGGACCCTTCGCGAGGCAGATGTATCCTGGACATGAGTGCTGTCTACTTTGAACAAAAAAGACAAGTAAAAGGCCTCTCTTCTTGGAATTTCCTCTCAGTCCCAGATACGACACACGGGGTAAAAATCCGAACCGCAGGCAAAGGTTACGAAGGATTAAAAGGGTAAGTTCGGCTTCAAGTGGGTTTCATTCGATTTATTGATACGGCCTTGCGCTCACTCGATTCGATTCGATTCGATTTGTTCAGTGACCAATGGATCTTGAGGTGAGTGTGTTGGGGCTGTGCTTACGGATGGTTGATCTCAGCGTCACGGTACCGGTACCGGTACTGATATTGTTTCCTACTGCTTTTTCCAGGAGGGACGAAGGACAGGGAGGGAACACACCAAGGGATGCTTTCACCTGTGAAGCAACGGCAGCAGAATCGAATTGGATACTGATCAAAAGTTGCGCAGGATGCACAGACCAGACTGTGTCTTACGAACATGGAATGACAGAGTAAGGCCTCTACTATACTAGTACCTGGTACAGCATCCAACTTATTGACTCCTTTTCACAAGACTACTGCCGGTCTCACAACTGCACCCTCTTCTTGTACCAACTTTATATATAGAACAAAAGGAAAGGACTACACCAAGTCAAAAAACTGGGAATTGAGTGTTAGCAGGACCGTGGAAGCCGACCTCAAGGTTGGCAGCACATCTACTGAAGTCGGCTTTAGTTATGGCCAAGAGGTGTCCAACACTGTTTCCGAATCTTTGGAGTTTTCCAAGACGGAGACGCTAGACTCAAACTTTGAGCGACCTTATGTCTGGCAGTTTGAAACCGAAGTTACAGGTATTTGTGGTGGTAAAACCAAATTTCCATCCAGACACCTAGCCGGCACTAACTCGGCATCGGAGATGCCCTGCTGTGTGCCCAAATACTTTCTGGACGCCAAAGATCATCCCCATGGCGCATGCAAGCAAGGTACTCCATGTTTCTGTGACAAGGATGTCTGCTTTCCCAAGCCCAAACCCAAGCCCGAAAAAGAGGAAGAGAAGCCCAAGCCCGAAAAAGAGGAAGAGAAGCCCTCGAAACCCTCGAAACCCTCGAAACCCATCCAGAAGCCCTCGACGAAACCAGGACCCCTTACTCCTTCGAAACCGGTCGAGAGCGAAAGCGAAGAGGAGGAATACAAGCTACCAGGACGCCCTTCCACTCCTTCGAAACCGGTCGAGAGTGAAAGCGAAGAGGAGGAAGACGAAGACGTGATTCCCGACTGGCTCCTCGAGAAACTCATTCTCAACTACGATGAAGACTGTTTGGAAGCCATGTTTGTAATGCTGGAAGAAACCATCGCCGAAGCCATCTATGGAGCTGGTTCTGAACGCAAGCTCCAAACCTACAACACTGTGATCAATATTGGTTCCGGTGGTGGGACCGGCGACATGAGCAATTTCCCTTCGCAGGGCGGCGGGCAGGGCGGCGGAAGGGGCGGCGGGCAGAGTAGAGGAAAGGACCTTGGCGATCGTGTTGATCGTGGCGGTAAAATTCGCGGAAAGGACCTTGGAGACCTTGTTGGCAGTGGTGGAAAGAAGGACCTTGGAGACCTTATTGATCGCGGCGGTAAAATTGGCGGAAAGGACCTTGGAGATCTTCTTGACCGCGGCGGTTCGACGAGCGGCAAACGTGATGGTGGTTGTTACATGGATCCTGATCTCTTGGCCTGGGGCGAGTCGGTTGCCTTGGAAGCCATTTATACGTATTGAAGATGAACAGGTCGACTTGGATGGATTGGAGCCGGAACCTTGCTTGCTTGCTTATCGAGCCGGTCTATTGCATGATATATGAAGAATTAGGACTACCATTGGTAGTGGATTGATCTGCAGTGCCTTGAGATCGACTCGACTCGATCGAGAGGTGCTCTATTTGTTTTAAGATACTAGTATGGTTGAAGTGTTACCTGCCTGTCGCCATTCCGTATACATGTAGGAATCATGGTTTGCAGCATGGCGGTTTCCAAGATCTATCGTACCCTGCCGTAGCTAATAGGTGGCAATGAGGGGTCGGAGCCACCGATTCGTACTCTGCTTCAATCCGAGCTGGCACCAGAATCCAGGAAGGAGTCTGTCGTAGTCAAGAGTTCTGAATCTACAGAACAAGAGCTGGTTGTGATGCCTACCAGCTCGGCCTCTACTAGCGCAATGGTGTCAGCTTTTGTCCCTTCGATCCACACTTTTTGCATTGATTGAGATTCCTTTGCGAGTGTTGATTCAAACGTCCCTTTTACGCAGAAGCAGCTATTTGAAGGCTTGTCATTGAAACATTGCCAGCGGGAGTGGATCAATCATCGGAGTGGTCAAATTGTTCACTTGATTGAATTGGACCCTCCTCGTGGAATCCATTGTTGTACATTCTTCTTGTACAGATCTCCATAGTGTCCTTGGTTCGATTGATTCAAGCTATTGACTGGACTGCGCTGACGTGCACCGCTGTCATCATCATAGTCAGGTACCAAAGTTTCGTCCGTAGATTTGTCCCCAATGCCCGACAGCGGCAATGATGGCATGACGAAACATATCTTGATAGTCGCTCGCTTCCAAATAGGTTGGTCTGAGGAAACAAGGTTGCATCGATCGTCGCTTGTAATTTGCTCTAGCTATAGTTCTGCCGTAAAGAGAGCCTGCAAGAGTGCATTGCCAAAATCAGCCCACTGGGTTCGCTTTACTTGACCAGGACAAGCAATGCTGGTCCCATCCAAGTGTTTTTGAATGAAATCATTGTTTGTGGATGGCTGAGTCATAGCTACTATTAGTTAGTTGCCCCATCATGAGGCGACATGCACACATGACAAGACTACTAGCTAGCTAGCCCTAGCCATGCAGACGAGGCTCCAACTAAGTAGTCTTGATCTCTCCAGGCAATTGCTCGGCTGGCTATAATACGAATCGAATCAATCAAAACACAAGCCAAGACGAGGTAGCTAGTAGCTAATTAGTAGTTGGTGGTTTGCTTTACTGGTGTAGCTCGATCCCGTGATGCTTGCTTGAGCCCAGACGTCCTCCTATTGCAAGGCTGTCTGTCTGCCACCGGTACCTCCGGTTGGGAACAACACCACGTATTAATTAATAGGTTGCCCCATCATGAGGCGACATGCACGCAGCCATGACAAGACTACTAGCTAGCTACAGTAGCCCCATACGAGGTTCCATCTAAATCTGTAGCTATCAGGATACTAGTAGCTCTTGGTCTTGTGCTAGCTACCAGTACCGTACCACTGTTTGCTCTGGTTCATCCTGGTTCAGCCACCAAGTCTTGCTTCAGCCATCCAACCAAAGACTAGACTAGCTATAGAGAACAACGCGAACTTGGACAGGAATGTTCAGGGCAGTGAGCCGAGGTTCTGTACAATAGTCCAGGACAGCCAGCCCCAAGGTTACAAAAGAATTTTCTAGCTAGCTAGCTAGTAGTCTAAGTAGGAGGTGTAGTCTTATTAGAAGGCTTGGGCTATCCTGGACAAAATACATGTAAATAGTTGACGATAGTCTAGCTGTTGCGGAGGCTGAGTGAATAGTCGATGGGTGATCGTTCGAGGAAGATCCCGCTGGATGAGAATTTTTCAATTAGAAGAAGGTATTTGCCGTTTGAAGGTAATACTAATGCTTTAGTTGAACTCTCCCGATACGGATATAGTGTCGCGTTTTCATTCTTTCCATCGAGTTTCCTTTGGTAAATCTACGATTACCGGTACTGGAAAATATAATTCAGGTAAGTGTGGTATTGCATTATCCACTTATTCAAAGAGTGTAATTGGTATCGTTTACCCGAGCTACCTGATAGAGCTTTTTCCGCTACCTGTATTGGGTACTGTAGCTAGCTAGCTAGTCTAGGTAGCGGTATTAGCATAGCTTTGAGCGTAATCACGACTGGCACCACAATCGGATGCCTCTGCAGCTGAAGGTCCTTGGAAAGAAGAGACATCAACAAGTCTTAGTAAGTCATCCATTACAAGGATGCTTCAAGCCCAAGCGAAATACTATTACTACTGTATGTGTTACTGGTAGCATACTAGTAGCAAGAGGAGTTCGTGAAGAAAAGAGCACACAATCTTTTTGTGCTTGGGTATATACCCCTTCTGACTGCCAACAAGCCCAGATAATAAGGAAGCTTATTAAGACTTGCTAAGGAAGGTTAAGACAAGATGGAGCATACTATTAATAACGGTAGCAATGAGATGATGAGAGACGGTAGCTTTTGGAATGACAGCATGTGGGATGACAGTCTGATGGATGGAAGTGGGAGTGTCATTGAGATGGACATGTCTGCCATGTCTGCCATGTCTGCCATTAATAGTACTATTACTAGTAATAGTACTAGTAGACCAAGACCAAGTCATCAGGCTACCCCTACTCAGGATCAGGCTCCCCTCTCTTCTACTACATGTAGAAGAAGTCCCAGAAGAAGTCCCAGAAGAGGGAGTACCAACAGTCCCAACGGGAGACCCAGTCGAAGAACACGACAAGCTCCTCCCCGTAGATCCAATACCAGTCCTACTCGAGGCGGACGAAGTCCCACACGACAATCACAGCAACAGCAGCAGCAAAGAGGACTTCCCAGACGTTCTCATACCAGTCCCACCCGGTCTCCTACCTCGTTCACTGCTGCCACTGCCAGTGCTAGTACTAATGCGGGAAGTCGAAGCCCGGCCAATTCCACGGGAAGTCATGACAGAAGAAGGACAAGGAGGAAAACTACATATACTACTACTAGTAGAACCAGACCGGCTTCCTTGACTACCGGTACGGAGGAAACGTCTTCTTCTTCGGAAGAATTCAATATTCTAGATGTGGTCGAAAAACGACAGAGGGCCAGTGTCCAAGAAGCAGCACGAGAGGGAATCCGAAGAATTCCACTGCGAGAATCCAGGGCAGCGGCGGCGGCTGCGGCGGCGGCAGCGGCATCCTCTCGACGAGATTCCAACCATTCACGGCGGCAATCCACCACAACAACACAATCCACCACCACAAGACGAGCTAGTCAGACAAACAGAAACAAGTCCAATGATCAGCATCAAGCATCATCGACATCGACATCGACATCCACTTACGACCCGTTTCTGGAAAAACAGCAACCTCCCACAGACATCTCATCATCGAGTGTGCCACGGGTAGCCATTGGCATTCGATCGGCGGGAACAGTGTCATCCTCCACTAATACCTCGTCCTCCGTAAACCCTGCCAAAGACACTACCACCACCAAAGATGCAGGAACTACCAATGATAATAAGTACGACGACACCAACAAGGACTCGACGACGACTACGACTCCAGGAGCAGTCGCCGTCAAACCCAATCCACAAATCGAACGATCACGCCTCAGTCGAGGACGGTCCGACCCCGAGTCTGTGCCACTGCCCATTGTCAAACTCGTTACACAACAAACGTCTCAAGAAGTCATGCCTGTTCAACGAGCGCGGCCGGTATGGAACAATAATAGCACTATTACTATAGAGGATCAAACACCACCGGAACCAACCGACACTTGCAAAGACGTCTCGTTTCACGATGAAGAACTGGGGCATGACAACACCAATTCCACTACGAACGATCCACCTCTCTTGGATGACAGCCAACAAACAACAATCAACAATAACAATAATGCTGTCGTCGTGGACGGTGCACCCGCCTTGCCCATGACCAATCTACAACGAGGATCGGCACGATCCTTGGCAAGACCGGGTGCGTACTTTTTTCCGGGATTGGGGCGTGTCATTAGTCGAGCCGGTAGTAGTCTGCGATCCATCAGTCACAACAACAATGCTAACAATACTGACATGAGTGGAGAATTGTCGGCCGTCGTCGTCAACGATCAAGTTCGAACATCCGTCATGGAATTTCACTATCCGCAACAGCAGGACCAACAACAACAACAAAAACGAGATCGACAAATACGCATTGGGTTGCTCGTGGCCGGTGTGTTTGTGGTGGTCATTGTACTCATTGTGGTACTGGCCGTGGCAATGCCCAACAGCGACAATAACAGTGACAATAATAGCCCAGAAGACACTGCCACCGACTCTACCTCTACGCCAACGACACTGGCTCCTACCCCCACCCCGCCCGTGCAAGAACGCATGATTGCACTGTTTCCCGACTCGACACTATTGCAACTGGACAATCCCTACACACCCCAGTCCAAGGCATGGAATTGGCTCTTGTCGGATACCACCAAGAACTTGCCCCAATACTCGGATCAACGATTGCTCCAACGATTCGCCATGGCAACCTTGTTCTACGCCACGGGTGGCATTGATTGGGACCAGCGAGATGGATGGCTCAGTTATCGCACACACGAATGTCTCTGGTGGAGTTGGGGATCCTTTGATGATGGCAGTGACGGGGTGGAATTTGTGCAAGTTACCAAGCAGAACGAGGGGAATCCCTGTGAAGAAAATGCCACTTTACTGGAGAATGATATTTTGCAGGATGGAATCATGCAACACATTTGGTTGCGGCAAAACAACTTGGAGGGGACGCTGCCATTGGAAATCTACTACGGACTACCACAAATTCGCAGCATCAATGTGGATGGGAATTCCTTGAGTGGCAAGCTGGACGATTCCATGGCACGCTTCTGGACCAATCTCGAAGTCATGAGTGCCTCCACGAACCAACTCTCCGGGTCCGTTCCACAGAATCTAGAGGCGCTGACCAAACTGACGGCGTTCATGCTCCCGTACAACCAACTTTCGGGAATGGTACGTCGATTGATCGATCAATCAATTCATTGTGGGGTGCTTGCTCGAATGGCTTGCTTGCTGGTCAGACTTTGTTTTGCTCATGTTCATGTTCTCGTTCTCTGCCATCTTGATACCCTCGCAGATACCGGCATCGTTAGGGGTGGCCACAGATTTGAAGTATCTCATGCTCGACCACAACCAAGATATTTCGGGGACGATACCTCCAGAGATCGGAAATCTTTCCAAGTTGAACTTCTTGTACTTGAGCTTTACGTCGATCACTGGCACGGTACGTATAGTTTCAGCAGCTGTGACTCTTGGTTACTTACTTTGGACACTCTGGACTTCTTGCTCATCACTTCCTGTTCACGCTCTGGTTTGCTCTTCTCTACAGATCCCCACAGAGGTCGGGTTGATGACGGATTTGCTTCACTTGGATCCCAAGTTCTGCCAGCTCTCCGGGACGCTTCCGACTGAGATTGGTGGCATGGCATCTCTAGAATGGCCCACCTTGCAGGGAAACCAACTCACAGGACCTGTAAGTCGCTCGTTTGTGGTGTAGTGGAATCATTATTTGCAATCAGATTCTATCGCTGACTCTCTATCTCTCTGAAATGAAATCGCTTCATCTTAAAGATTCCAACCGAGCTAGGGCTATGTTCTTCAATCTTTGCGATCGAGCTTGAAGGGAACATGCTTGAAGGGGGCATCCCGTCCCAGCTGGGGATGCTGGATGGTTTGATTCTCTTGGATCTTGAGCAGAACGAATTGACAGGCGCAGTGCCTGTGGAGATTGGGCGCTTGGCAGAGATTGGTTCGTTGACTCACATCTATTTGCGAAACAACAGCCTGACGGGGACGGTGCCTTCAGATCTTTGCACCCTAGAAGTCAACGAGTTTGACTGCAACGACAGCCTCTGTGGTTGCAATTGTGAATGTGGCACTTAATAGCTACAAGAGGCGGACGAGTCGTGGGGAATTTGTTTCCTGTAGACTGCCTGCCCTTGTAACTCGAGTCTCATTGGCAACTCTATCTATCTAGCTAGGATTCGAGGAAACGCCACACTGCAAAAATACTCACCGTGAGCAAGAATACAAGTAGACGGATTTTTGGTTGGAGGCGTCGTTCGTACAGTAGATCAATCGACAGCCATGGCAGGCAACTTCACGTTGAGGGTTTGACCGCACTCCAGCTCTCACGAGAAGGATGCTATCGACGCGGTCGTAGAGCGTGAACTCACAAACCCAATCCGCTCACCCCAAAAGCTGCGACGACACTCGAAACCCAACCCGCTCACCTCCAAACATCTACTAATACCAATGCGCTGGCATGACGAGGTCGTGGGGGTGATTGCTTCTTGGCAATGGGCGAGGATGGGAGGTTGGGGAGAAACAGGTCGGCAGAGCAAGGAGTGAAACTAGCAGACGATTACAAGGCTTCGAGCTCCAAAATAAATATGGTCTCTTAGACTTAAAATGCAAAACTTTTTGAGCACCTCAACCAACAGGTGTCTTCACGATGGACTTAGGAAGAATACGGGGGGAGTCCCAAGCCCCCATCCTGCCTGCCTCTTTCCTTTCTGAGCAGCAAACGGCCTAATAGGTCCTGTCCAAGACGTACCAGCTGAAGGCTCGAAGGTTCACCTTGGTCATGGAATCGACAACTAATGGATCAAGCTTGTGCCATGCTTCTTCCATAATGTCCTTTGCCTCTTTGTAGCTGTCATCAATGCCGTCCACTTTGTCAATGAGAGCAACAGCCTCGCCAATCGTCTCCGTATCCTCGGGTCTAGAAGACACAATCTCCCACAACTTGGCCCGGTCTTCCTTTTCCAAACGGCTCATGGCTTTGGCAATTGGGTATGTCACCTTGCCGGCAGTGATATCTTCTCCCATGGTCTTGAGACCATCACGGAATCCCTTCAAATTGAGCACATCATCGACAATCTGAAAGGCAATTCCCAATGCCTCAAAGTAGTCCGCAAGTCCTTTGGATTGCAGCTCACTTCCACCACCCAGTGTACAGCCCATGCCCGCCAAAGAACTGGCAGGGACAGCGGATTTGAGACGATGAATGGCAATGACACGTTGACGACACAAGTCGCCACCATTTTCCACCACATCCGGCATCATGTAATCCAAACCGTGAATGTCCATGGCTTGACCACAGTGCGCCGCACGCATGGCTTCAAAGTACAGATTGTACACATCATTCTTTTGTTGGAGACTGGCTCCATCGGCTTGATACACACATGTTTGTCCCAAAAAGTAGCAAAAGGAACCAGCATTGATGGCGACATCTTCACCATACATGATATGCGAACAGGGCCCACCACGTCGAATGTCCGATCGGTCTTCAACATCATCGACAATCAACGAGCCAACATGCATCAATTCCGGCAATGCCAGCCAATTGGACACCAATTGACTATTACCGCCCACCATATCGCAGCATGCCAATGCGGCATAAGACCGCCACGACTTGCCACCCCGATCCAAAATGCAACGAATGGGTTCCACCATGGCTTTGGAGAACTGTTGGTTGTCAATGAATTCCGTGTAGTGGGCATTCTTTTTATGGGAGACCAACTCGGAAAACTTGTCACTGGATGGGTTAAAGGGGAGAATGTTTTGCACTGATTTGAGTGTTTCTCGACTGACATTTTTGAAAAAGTGTTCCAATGTGAGTGTTTTGGGGGAACAAAAGCCGTTGCGTTCGACAAATCCCTTGCCGGCCACGGGCTTGCCGTGAAAGACACCGGTGGCACGGATGCATCCTTCCCAAAAGGCGGGCTTGGAAATGACGGTGGCAAACTCTTGCTGTGCAAATGTCGCCTTGAGTTGCAATTGGATATTCATGGATGGCACAGTGAGTTCCCAATTGACGGGATATCCGCGGAACGTTCTCATGCTGACCCACTCTTGACCGGTGGCAGAAAAGGTGAAGTCACCGGCATCAATCTTGTGGCGTTGTCCGTCTGGATCGACCAATGCAATCATGGACTTTGCCGTGTCGTTGGCACGTTGGTCATGGTCCATGCTGCTGTGGATAAAGAATTCGGAACAACAGAGCTGGTATCCATTGTCAAATTGCAAGCTGAGCCAGTTCCAAGAGGAATCCTTGAACGGATTGAGGTTGATTTCTTTCTTGTGCTTGACCGACATTTTTTGGACTTCCACGACGGATCCATCAAAGACGGGCTCATCATCTGCGTCCTCGTCACCCGTAGCCGTCTTTTTGTTGCGACCAAACTCGTGATCGTACCAACCCGTTCCGGTGACCTTGTGAGTGTGTGTCTTGACTACGGATGGTGAAGTCTTTTCACCGGTCTTGTCATCGATGACAAAGAATTGATTCTTGGTCAACTTGCTTTCCTTGTCATCTTCATCGGGAATGACGACCGTTCCTTGGACCTTGCAATGGGGCAACATGTAGTAAAACATGTCTTTGGAACAAGGCAAAGCAAGCAGAAAACATGCATGTGAGACGACAAAAGATTCACCCATGTTAAGCCAAGCCAAGCCAAGCCAGCCTCTTCTGAAACTTACCTTCCACGTTGCCTTCCCCATCCACCACACCATCAATTCCATTGCGAATGGGATCCGTCTGTGGCACAAAGCGTATGTCGACCTTGACGTGATGCACATCCTTGTCTTCCAAAAAGAGATTGTACGAACCATCCGAGTTGCGAGAAAACGTATTGCCGTCATAGTCCAGTGTCAGGCGAGGAACTCCAGCAATGGAGTTGGCAATGTTTTTGCCAAAGCAGCAACAACTGCTTTTCTTGTTCTTGGTGGAATTCTTGTTGGCAGATTTCTTCTGGGTCTTGTCGTCCTCTTCTTCTTCGTCTGCTTCATCATTGCGCGTGGGAATCCAGGGCGTGGGACTTCCTTCCACACCAATATCAGGAAGACGGGTCAAGTTTTTGCCCAAAATGAGAGGATCTCGTTTCAACAATCGATCGGGATAGGCAATGTTACCCTTTAGCAGCATTTCCACCGTGGCTCTGCGAAGGCGTGTGTCTTGGATCATGTCCGGATTGAGTTCCAATGCTTTCAATAGCAGTTCCGGCGTCCTTTTATCGACCAAGGACACATTGTAGTACTTTTCCGTCTTTAGGTCCATCACGGCCCAGGAACACACATGCGCATAAACGTACTCCTTGGTATCTTCATCGTAGTAGATAATCTTGCGGAAAAAGGTGGCGAAAAGGGCAAAACCGGGATGCTGCTCATCACTGTCATTGTCATGCTCGTCATTGCTACCCTTTTTGCTTTTCTTCTTTTTCTTCGTTTTGACATCGGCCACATCGAGATGGGCATTGAGGTACCACCATTCCAAGGACGAGGAGAAATGGGGCAAATCGTGACGTTCCAAATCAATGGTACCCTTGGGCGATGGCCAATCGGGAGGATACTGCGAGTATTCCACCGCAACAGCCGAACCAGAACAAGGAGTGCCAGTGCTGGAATCCTTGCTGGCGGTAGACAAGGCTTTGGTGGGGGCAGTGGGACACATGGTAGTGGTAGTGTGGTAGGGGTAGCTCTGCTTGGTTGGTAAGTGGGTAGGTAGATAAGGTAGATAAGGCTGGGTTGGGTAGCAAGGGTAGCTATTAATAGCTAGCTAGGAGCAAATTGTGAGCTTTGAAGGGTATCCAAGAATTTTCCCCGTACCAGTTCAAAAGAATCCTGGCGCAAAAGACTCCTGGCGCAAAAGGCTCCTGATCGTAATCTGGAGAGGATTTGGGTGGTCACGGCTTTTTCCACCCAAAAAATGAGAGAAACGATTGGTGGATGGTTGATTATGGTTGGTGTGGGTTGACACAACCAAGCAAAACAGATTTTATGGCACTGTTCTGCTTTGCTACTGGCTGCGTCCTTGTCCAGTGATGTACACAGTAAAACCAGAAGAGCTTCGGAAAAACTGGCAACAAAAGTTTGGTGAGCTAAAAGACGCCCTCTGGTACTCTCCCTACTCGAGTCTACTCTGGCTATGATACTAGCTAGCAACTATCTTGGAGTAGAGCTACGCATAGCTAGCTATCTGGAAGCGGTCTCCCAACATCCGAAAGCAGGCTCTCTTCGACCTGGTACAGTCGTACAGCGGCACACCGGTTGTAGCTAGAGTATGAGAAAATGTGAGGCCGAAATAGCTAAGTGTGGAAACGTACATATTTACTCATCACGTGCTGCGGAGTAGACAATTTTGTGACCGTCCTTTGGAACCTTCCTAAATATCTTTGAGCAATGGTGTAATAACCGGTGACGAACTTGAGCAGTGTTAATTGAATTGTGTCACAGGCTACCCAACGTTAACTGCACATCGGACACCTTTGAACTGAATTCACCATAGAACCACGGAGCGGATCTTATGGGTAACGTCTTGCCACCTAATTAGGCAGTCCAGGGACTTTATTCGCTCAAAATATCGGACAAAAGAGTCTTCTTTTGTCCAAATTATTGGGACGAGAGGCCAATAATACTACTAGTATCCTTGATCCTTGGGCGTTATTTACTGCCTGTGAATCTACAGTACAGCAGAAAGCAGAACAAGTGCAAGGTTCAAGTACCAGGTAAGTGTTCAAGTACAGTAGTAAGAATCCCAAGTACCAAGATTTCATGAGCTTTCCGTGTCCGCATGTCATCACGCCAGTGGTACTAGTACGTTGTTCACACTTCACATCAACCCGGTCGTCTAAAGGTGGCTAGCTAGGTGGCTACCGGCTACCGGTACCAATGGATGGTCCCATCTCAAATAGCTACCGGTAGAGCCCAAATTCTCTACAGTATGCACTATTAATAGCTAGCTCCCCTTTTTAGTTAGTTCCGAATTGGTTGGCTGCCTCAGACGCGGTGAGTACCCAGCATCTACAATGGTAATGCTCTTTTCACGGGTCCGAAAGCCAAGCAGTATCCATGCGTACTCTACTAGTCGTCAAGTCTTTCCCTCTCTATTAGTACCGGTAGAGGTGCTAGGTAGCTCGCCAAATAATAATTGACGGGCAGCAAAGCTTATTGCGGCGTGTTGGGGTGCATCTGGCTAGGTTCTAGCAACCGGACCGCATACTGTCCTCTTGAGCACTTCACTACTAGTCGTTTCAATTCCCGTCGGCAACTGAGTTTCCTTCGTGGGTCCGTCATGAGCGAACGGTGGTCGTCCTGCTCAACGATACGGTAGCCAAGCAACCCGTCGGCTACACGCCGAGGAGACGACGAGACACAATCGGAACGTACCGCTGCACCAAGCCAACTATGACCGACACGGCCATCGCAGAAACGCTTCCCACCCAAAACACGTAAAGCAACCATTCACGTCGTCGAGAGAGGAGCCTATTCATGCGTTCGTCTACCCAGTCTGCACAGCCTCAGCCATCCAACGGGCACTGTACAAGTAGTGACGTTACTATTAGTTGCTGTAGTCGACCTCTGCATGGCTGCTTTTGCGTGTTTGCTCGATCAAGTCACAGTTCTACCCGCAAGTCGTCTCCACACCGTGCAATCGAGTGCGCTTGCGGAGCGCCACGGAGCAACCAGATTCCCCTCCATTGCAGCAACATCAGGTCCATTCACTACACTGTTATCTACCGTACCGGTATCTAGCAAGGACACCCGCAGCCACAAAGCATATCAGTGCAATCCAAGAATACACCTTGGGGCTCTCCACAGGGATCCAGCTTCTGGGCATAGATGACACACGAGCCATTCAGGTTGCAAATGGCCTCTGGGACTGCCCCACTCAGCATGGGATTCCCATCCAGTGAAATGGAATGAAGTGATTGCTGCAATCTGGATAACTCAGACGGAATGGCACCAGAGAAGCTGTTGTTGGCCAAGTGCAAATAGCCAAGAGTTGATGAAAGTCCACCAAGTTCACTGGGAATCTGACCCGAAAGCTGGTTGTTTTGGAGATAGAGCTCATGGAGGCCAGTCAAACGCCCAAGTTCCGATGGGACAATTCCAGTCATGAGATTGGTGCGTAGGTTCAGCTCTATTTCCAGGTTTGTGAGGAGCCCAATCTCCGTTGGCACTGTTCCCGTGAAGTGATTGCGCCTGAAAATGAGTGTGGTGAGAGAAGTCAGCAAGCCCAACTCACTAGGGAGCTTCCCGACTAAATCATTGCCATTCAGAGTCACCAGTAGCATATTGGGGATCATGGACAGCTCCGTTGGGAGCGTCCCAGACAATCGGTTGTTTTTGATCATTAGCCATTCCAAAGTTTCTATTTGACCCAGTTCAGTTGGAAGTGTTCCTGGAAGCAATCAAGCAAGCAAGCATGAAGGAAACTATGAGCAGTGATGTCCTGTTCATCAACACAATTCCACGGATGAAGACCAAAAGGCTTACCCGTCAGCCCACAATCTTCTATAACAAACCACTTCAGTTTGGAAAAGCTGGCAATCTCTGTAGGAATACTACCTTGCATATTGGGACGCCCAAGGACAACAAGGGTCTGTAGGTTGGTAAGCTGCCATAACTCTGTCGGGATGGTTTCTGGATATTTGCTGTTGCCTAGTAATAGGCCCCTCAGTTTGGTCAACAGACCAATTTCAGAGGGCAATGCTGCTTCATGAATCATCCCAGCAGGATAGAATCCTTCCAATGCTGTGAGCTGTCCAATTTTGGGTGAGAGGACTCCTTGGAGTTGATTGTGTCCAATTGAGAGTGTCTGTAACAAAGTCAGCATATACAACTCTTCTGGTAACGAACCAACAAGGTTGTTGTGATCCAGCCAAAAGTGCTGATAGAGACCATTCTCATTGCAGGTTTTTGGGGGTGGTTCACTAGGAGGGAAAAACTCAGAGAGATATCCCGGGTAAATCTTTGCTAACCTCTCCTTTTGTGCAAAGTCAGGAGCTTGGAACCATTCACATTCATGGACACTGTGGTCCAGCCAGCCAGAGTTGGTGGTCCAACTGTCCCCATTGGTGGAATAGTAGAGTGTTGCCAGGGCAAACTTCTGTTGAACTCTCTCCACTGAAAGGTATGGCAAGTTCTCCCCATCTTCCATGAGCCACCGAAAGGCTTGCGCCTGGGATGAGTGGGGGTCCTCCAGAATAGACTGTAGCGTCTCAGTATTCAAAAGTGTCAAGACGTAATCCTCAATGCTGCTGGGGGCACTGGTGCTTGAAACTAAGGAAGAAGAAGAGGCAACTGCTGGTTCACTCGTCGTTCGTGTCCCAAGGAAAGCCGCAATAATGGCAACCATAATCACGATCCCAAAGGCTACAGCCACCAAACACTTGCCTGGTTTGAGTTGCTGCCTGTTTGTGTCGTGCTGTCTATCCTTGCGGGCTGCCTCTGCCCAGGGCAAATCCTCCTGCACCGGATTGGCCACAACCAGGCCACTGATATCCTCCTCTTGTAATGCTGTTAGAGTTAGAGAAGTAGACATGGTGGAATCTCGCGCGTCACGCATAAGACACTCTGATCCTCCTGGTTCCGAGACAGCACCAGGCTCCACTTGTCTGACCATGTTTTGCTCCCGGACAAGCCGTGGAGGGGAAAGCGCCAGCTCTTCGTCCAACATGTCGTCGTCGCTGTGGCTACAACATGTGGTATTGATACAGGGCGGAGGATGTCCCACCATGCTGGACCAATGATTGGTGCTAGCTCTCTGCAGTTCTATACCGGATGCTACGGCATAGGCGCCGGGACAATGGGGTTGTGAAGCCGGGGCTTGCTCCGTGTCTTCAGTTGCCGTAGCTGCAGTAAGGCTTTCCTTGATTTTCTGTTTTTTCTTCGTACCAGTAGTATACTTGTTGCCTGCCAATGCCACCTTTGTGGACTTTTCCTGTTGGATCTGTCGTTGCTCTAGAATCGTCCTAATCAGGGTCTCCTGCGAGCAAGACGCTTCGTCGTCGCAGTCGTCTTGAGGAGTGTCCTCCTGCTCGAGTTGCCCCACTACCACCGGTAACCTCACGGGCTCCAACTGTTGCGACACCCTCTCACCATTGGCTCTGGCCGCGACAATCTTGAGCAGGTTGATCTCGCCGCCATCTTTGTCCATGCTGTCGTCGTGCTTGTTCATGTCGTCGTACTTGTTCATGTCGTCGTCGTTGTGCTTCGTATCTACCGTATATAGCAAGCTGTATATGATCCGCCAATAGCTTACAGCGCAAAGTTTTGATGCATGGGATCAAAGTCAAAAGAAGCAGCTGGCTTCCGTAGATAATTTCCCTACTCTAAACCCCCTTTATTACTTACAAAGAAGCTGTGTTGCCATTGGTGAGAACACGGCAACCCCCAGTTGCTTCCCGGAGGGATGCGAAGCTTTCTATCCCAGTGAGCTCGGAGCACTCCGGAAGGCCCTTTTAACTCTGGCTGGGCTCGGTATTTGGTTACCTCAACCACTCGAATGTATTCATAAATTTGATGTAAATAATGTATCTAAATCGTGAATACATCTATCAAAGTTCAATCTCAGAGAAGCATAACTACCGAAATAGTATGAGAAAAGAAAATATTATATTTTAACTAGGAAGGCGGGGCATTCATTGCAGCTCATGTCATTGATGTGATACTTTCGGTTCGCGTCCGTGCGAACTCCCCTTCCACCACAATGTCCCGAGAGCCCGAGAGTACATGTACTGGTATCGAAGCTTCCCATCGCAAAAGAAGGCAACCGAAGGTTCGCAATCGACCACTGGCGACAAGTATAGTACTGTACTGTAAGTGAAAGCTCAAAGGGCGCAGAGTAAATAATGACGTGCTTCTGCTCTTTGTAAAACCAGCAGCCACCAGAACGTAGCTACGGTACCCATAGCATACCGGTAGGTGCCGGTAGCTTCTTGAGTACTCTACTAGCTAGCAAGATAGTCTAGTAGCTGGTAGAAACCAGCATAGATCCACCTCTTTCTACTGAACAGAGGAGAACAGGGCGGAAAAGATCGGGACATCGATCACACTAATGTCTGCGTCTCCTTGCACTTCTCCGTACTAGCAAGACAAAACCCGTTTTGTTGCCTTCGCATCAGAAGCCAAGTGCAACCACAACCGACCACAAAGGAATGACATGGTACAGTTTGTCAACTCATTGACTGTAAGATGTTAAGCTACCACAAGTACAGTGTACTGACCAGCTACTGCCAGCTACTGCAGCCGTGGCCGGCCCATGTGAGAAGACTTACTTGTTGACAGTTTCCGAAGAAAGCTCTCAACTCTTATGCATGCTTCGGAATCTGAAAACCAAGGTGAAGCCAAAGGGGACTCTTCATGGGGCAACCAGCCTTGCCCGAGGTACATCGTGTGGTAAAGGTATCTCACTCCCGTACCGGCATCGTCAAGCGCCTCCCTGCTCCGGCCCGAATGTATTGAATTGTGCCAGCAAGGCTGTCTATTACTTTTAGGGAAATGAGGTAGCGGATCGAGGCAGCGCACTGTGGATCGCTTCGAGTTTGAGATTGTACTATAGACTCTGGAACAGTTTCAAATACTCCATACAGTATCCTACCTAGCTACTGTTTGTCCTTTTCCTTTTCCTTGGCAGCACCGGTACCGCATGCACTGTTGCCAGAATTACCATTCTGGGTTGCGACACCAGCTTTGTGGTCTTGGAAGCATACCAAGGATAAGAAAACAGGAAATCGAATCACACAAGGCCAGCTGAGATGTTGCCATCCTTTCACAATGGCATATGCTAAGAGCTTGCATAGATTCATCTTTCCATGTTAGTTCACTGGACAAAGGGCACAGTCACACCCACAGAGCAAAGTCCCTTCGCAGACAGGAGCATTGACTTTGACAGAAAGCAAGCCTTGCGCTGTAGTTATCCAATGATCTTGGTACATCTTGCTGCACAGTGGCTCGGGGATGCTGCCCGCCAAGGATGTGTTCTTGACAACCAAGCTGGTCAAGTTTCTCAATGCAACCAGCTCTCTGGGCAGAGTGCCAAATAACTCGGTGTTGTTCTGGACTTCCAAGCGTTTGAGATCAGTCAGCAAACCAACCTCTGTTGGTATTGAACCGGAGAAGAGATTGGAACTGCTTTGCCAATTCTGTAAGTTTGTGAGCTGGGAAAAGAGACCAGATGGTAGTGGGCCTTCCAAATGGTTTTCATCGATGAGGCTTTCCAGTTGACCCAGCTCTGTAGGTAGTGAGCCAGATATGCTAGTAGCAAACAGCATGAGGCTGGTCAACTTTGTGATCCGATCAAGCTCTGTTGGAAGCTCTCCGAATACTCCCAAATTCTGCCGAAGGGCAAAATGCTGCAGTCCGGCGCTCAGCAGTGATATCTCGGGGGGTATAGTTCCCTCCAAGTTGTTGGTGGAAAAGTCGAGCGATATCATGAGTCCCCTGTCACTACTACAGTGGACGTCTGGTGAATCTATTGCGTTGAACTCAGTGGGAACTTGTTCCCAATGGCAGTCGTTTGTTTTTCCAATCCAACCAGCAATGCTTCTTGACCCAATAGTCACCCTTGGTTGAATGGTAAAAGGTGACCAGTACAAACAGCTGTCGTAATTTCCATTCTGGAAGGAGATGAATGCTGGTTTCACCCGCAGCATTGATCAGCCATTCATTTGCTTTGGATTGGGGTGACTCTGGGTCATCCATGATGGCTCTGAGCGTGTAATTAGGTAGATGGAGCACATCCAGCAAGGTTGTTGTTGGTGCTGGGGTTGTTGCCATGATTGGGGCAGAGGATGGACTTTGAATCCTTCCACCGTTCTGCTGTTCTTGCTGTAGTATCAATGGACTGCTGCTATGTCTGGTCCAAACGACCAAGAAGAATACTGCCAGAATGATTGCCACCGCCGCCATGCCCACTATTGTCTGTATGGAGAGTGCCACAAATAACCTTCTCCTCCAATATTCTTTGATTCTTTGGAATGACATGTGCGGCACGGCATTTTGCAGTACTAGTAACCCATCCACTTCGTCCTCATGGACTGGATGAGCAATAATGACATCACTGGTCCGGTCCTCATCGATTCCATCATCGCTCTCGTCTTCTATGTCGTCACGGAACCCTGGCCCATCCACGGCAATGGCTCCCGGAATAGCTGGGTGGATGCCTTGATGTCTCGTAAACTCGGGATACTGCACTGGTGTGTCTAGAATAGACTGAGCTTGAGCTGTATGGCTGCAGTTTTCTGCGTTGCATGTGGAAACTTCAGGGATGCTCGTGGATGTCTTGAGGCAAATCTTGGGTGAATGATCATCTTGTTGTTGAAGAATGGCTAGATCAATGATCCCAGCAACTGCGGCATCTTTCACCACAACCTTCTTCTTCTTGACGTTTCCAACCTCGATGTCACCTTCATCGTTGTCCTTATTGCTGCTGCTGTTAAGAGTCCGTCTGCATTCTCGTGCTTGCTGCAGCTGGAAGGAGTCCAAATTCTCGAGCTGGGCGTCGTAGTCTCCCCTGATGCGTGCTGCCACTATAAATCGAGTAGGTTCAAGTCGTCCTCTTCGTCTTTTTCTGCGTCCGCTGCATCAGTCTTTCTCATCATGGTCGGTTCATGCAGCTATATTGATGAGTAAAGGCGAAGTCGAGTCATTATGGCTTTTGCCTTGGATTCAAGCGGTGTTTGAGTTTTGAGCCTAGAATTAAGATTCAACGAGGTTAGAAAGGGGGGATTAGATGGTTGCGCCAAAGGATTTAAGATAGCTCTTGTCTCTTCACTGGACTATCTTCTTTTGGTGATTTGGGCAAGTTTCTGTTAAATCATTGGATTGCCATTCGATAAGGACTGCTTGAAGCAAGAGAACGTCTAGGATTTGAACCACTGATTGGAGACTGATTGCATGGAGCATTGGAGCTGAACTGATTCCAGCAGCTCAGCAGCTAAATCTTATGGTCATTCATATTGGACACTTACTTTTTCACTCTCCTCAAATAAATGGCACGAATACGTTTCCTGTACATGTAGTTAATATAAGACAGATACCGGTACCATCGAGAGTCGAGTCGAGGAGCGAAGATGGTATAGCAAAGATAGCTAGCTAGCCTAGCTAGCTAGCTCCGGCGGAGGAACATGGGTCGTCCTCAAGCGCTTCCCGTCTCAATCGGTTAAATTCAATGGCCGGTCAATGGCATACTAGCTAGCTAGAGCTACCGTACCAATTATGTTGTCATCCTTTGCTTGGTTCGTTTTGAGCAGCTCCGGGCAGCCGCGAATCCCCGAGAGCTTTCTCATCGACCGACAACTGTTTTGTGGAAGACGACCCTTTTCGCTACGGTCAACAGTTGGGTGGCGTGGGCCCCCGCTGCAATCATTCTTCGATGCTAAGGCAAAGCCACTGCCTGCTCTACCGGTATTGACGAGGGTTGTGCTTTGTAACGGAGGCCGCAAAAAAAAAAGTGGGAGGCTTCAATGCAAATCAGAAACAATGCAGAAGTCGTGAAGGTAGCCTTCTCGGCATGGAGCCTGGTGGAGTAGGGAAATCATTGGGGCAGCCACCAAACACCTCCACGTTTTTGCCCTCATAAGCAATTTGGTTGACGAAAGCATAACAGTTGCTTGCTCCAGATGCTCCAGAACGAAGCTTGGCTAAGAAAATGGCAGAGTAGCATAGATCTGCAGTCAGTTATTATGTATTTGAGAAGCATACAACGCCCAGAGTATTTGCTAGCTAGCTAGATAGCTAGCCACATCCACAGAGTAGACCAGTACAATCAAACAACAATCCAAAAGAACCTTCGCAAGAGTCGACGGCACTTCCAATGCAAGTCCCATTGATGCCACACACTCCTTCTGGAATGGTTCCAGACAGCAGTGGATTGCCTTCCAGCCTTAGCGTGTGCAGAGTTGGTTGAAGGTTGGAGAGGTCGTGGGGAACAGTTCCAGAAAGAGCATTGCTCGCAAGAGTCAAGTGGCCCATTGATGACAGCAGACCAAGCTCACTAGGAATCCAACCAGAGAGTTGGTTGCCTTGAAGCTCAAGTTCCTCCAGCCCTGAGAAACGACCTAGCTCTGAAGGGATGGATCCAGACAGCTGATTGTTCCTCAGGTTGAGAGTAAAGGCCAGTTTTGTTAAAAGCCCTAGCTCACTTGGCACAGGGCCTGTGAGCTGGTTGTCCCTTATTGTAAGCAGGAGAAGAGGAGCAACTGTGCCCAACTCCGAGGGGATTGTGCCTTGAAATGAATTCCCAAACTGAGCTACTTAGCTCAGTTTGGAAAGATGCATCAATTCACCAGGAAGAGTTCCTGTCATTCTGTTCCCATACAAGATCATCCATTGAAGATCGGTTACAAGGCCAATCTCTGTTGGGATTGAACCTTTAGAAGAGGAGTGGGGAAAAAATTCATGGTTGGCCAACAGCATGGTATTACATGGAAGCAAAAGAATGTTACCTTTGCTTGGGCTGCTTACCTGTCAGGTCACAATCATTAAAGTTGAGCCATGTCAACTTGGAAAGCATTCCGACATCAGATGGAATAAGGCCTTGCAAGTGGGAGTTGCGCGGCATTCCAAGCGTTTCCAAGTTTGTAAGCTGCCAAATTTCACTGGGAATGGATCCCTTGAGAGATACCTGATCATTATTGCCCTGTAGTCCAAGGTATTTCAACTTTGTCAAAAGTCCGAGTTCTGAAGGAATGGTTCCGATGCCTAGAGGGGAACCCATAGTGAGTCCCTTCAACGAAGTCATTTGTCCCACCAAAGTTGAGACTGTTCCCTGCATGTGGTTGTATCCTAGGGAAAACGTTTTCAGAGAAGTCAGGAGGTAGATTTCCTCTGGTAGCGACCCACCCAGATTGTTGAAGTCAAGCCAGAGATTCTGATAGATACCATCCTCATTGCATGTGGTTGGAGGTGAATCTTTGGATGGAAAGAAGCCCTGTAGAAACCCAGGATAAAGCAGAGAAATAGCATCCATTCTTGCAAAATCTGGTTTGTTGAACCAGTCACACTCATGGACACTGTGATTTAGCCAGCCAAAATTTTCTTTCCAATTATTCCCTTCAGTGGAATAGAACAGTGTGGCCAAGGCAAATTTTTGTACGACTCTTCCTGAAGTGTACAGAGGCCAATTTTCATAGTCTTCCAACAGCCACTCAAATGCCATGGACTGAGGAGAGTCAGGTTCTTCCAAAGCCAGGAGAGTGTCCTCTTCAAGCAACGCCTTGATACTTCCCTCTAAAGACATGGTTGGGGCTTCTGAAGGGGACATGCTGGGTAAAATTGGCAGGATCGGAGCCACGTTGTCTTCTTTCTTGTGAAGGAGAACAACAGACAACACGATGATGGCCAAGGCGATGAGCAAAAAACCTCCCCCGAGAATTCTTGTCTTGAACTGCTTATCCTTTTCTGATCTCCTTGTTTCTTCAATCTCACCATTGTAATTTTGAGCCTGGGGTAGATTACGAAAATGAGATGAATCTACTGGGTCAGCCACAGCCAAGCCGTCCTCGGGAATACAACGAGCTGTACCCAGTTGGACAGGTAGCTGGGCCGATTCATATTGCATGCTCGACAGTGTCTGGGACGAAGGATCCACCAATGAAGAGGATAACGAACCACCACCCAAAAGTGATCGACGAAGGGTGGTATTGCGTCTGAGTTCTGTACCGGTACCAGGTACATGGGCATAGGCTCCCGGGCGCCCTTCTTCTTCTTCGGGCAGATTTGTCACAAGTACATTGTCATTTGTAGGTTCGATCGTAGGTGGCTGAGTAGTCGTGGGTTCAATGTGTGTCATCTCTGCGGTTTCCAAATTTTCCCCTGTTCTTTGAAAATTTCCTCCACTTGGGAATGCACCTGGTTGTACTTGGGCCCTTCTGTTGGCAGCAGTCCGTTCCAATTGAGGCAAAGGCATAAGCCGATCTTTGTCACCATTTTGTGCCATATCCTCGGGAGCTGCATTGGTGTTAGTGTCAACGAGTTCAATTCGGGTGTCGTCCTGTTCTTGAGTGGTAGTATTTTCACCTTGGCAGAGACCAGAATCCCGGAGCCGAGCCTCCATTATTCTGGCCAGATCGACTATTGCAACATTTTCTTCCCCGTATTCTGCAGTTTTTTTGTGTGTGGCCAGATCAGCCTGTGGGCCTTTGACCATTGTGCATCCTACTGCTCCTGTTTTGTGTGTGTGTGGGCTTTTCTCTGTTTGGAAAAAATGTAGTGTGTGCTGTTGTTTGCTTCCGGTGGCATCCAAATCTTTTAGCCGAGCTTCCACAATCTCTTGCAGGTCGAGAGGAACCAATCCTTCTTGGGAAGAAGTTCTATCTTCATTCTCCTGCTGTTCTTCTTCCTTCTGTTCCTGATGGGTCTGTTCCTGCTCTGGGTTGTTGGGAGAACCCAGGCCAGTCTCCTCTTCCGTTGTCATGGTTTTGCTCTGATGGTTGGTTGGCTAGAACTTGAGGGTGATGGAAGTAACAGAACTCGATCGTTGTGTGCTTGGTTGTGAAGACTTGCGATATTACAATGAAGGTTATCAAGCGACTAGCTAGCTACTAGAGTGGAGTGACGAGTCGACTATTAATACCGGTGCAGCGGTACCATGGAATCGGCTACGCCGCGCTGTGCGCCGTGGCCTGCAAAAGCCGGCATGATCTTGCCCCATTTTCAGACGGCAATTATTATTAAGGGAAACATTTCGTCGTCGCTCCTCTTTAATCTCGACGACGCGCGGGTACTTGTAGTTTGTGTACTGTAGGATTCGTGCCAATTCGCAAGCCCGGCAAATAAATTGCCTTTTTGACCGGCACTCACTCGCACAGCTATTGTACGAATTGGAATACGGGCGTTCGAAATTGGGAGCTTTCACAGCACATTCTTTGATAGCTCTTGCTGGCTTTTAAAATCAAAAGTGACGTCATTCACGCCACAACCTTGTGGGTCTCTCATTTTTTCTTCTGCACCACAACACCACGATGACGATGACGACGACAAAGACAATGATTATCAAGTCTGAAAACTGCCGCAACAGGACAGCTCTGTTTGTTTTGTTGATTCTATGCTGTAGGGGTGGAGATCCTGTCCACTCGTTCCTTCCGAGTAGTCCAACGTTTATTACTGCTATTCCATCGGTTCCATCAATAAGGAAGGCTGTGTGGAAAACAACGGCCAAGACGGAACTTGCCACCACGGTGCTACCACAGGAGGTAATATCCCTGCAGGTAGCTGACGACACTACTACCGGTAGTAGCACCAGCGTGGAAGATGATACTGGAATCTTGGTGTCTCTCTTTGGCAGTGTGAAAGCATTTCAAGACTTTTGGAATTTCGATTTTGGTCGTCGCGTGGTGCATCTCAGCAGTCATGCTAGTGCAACCAGTAGTAACGGTAGCATTGGCATTGACATGGCACAACTGTACGACTCGAACGAGTACATTACCTTGCGCAAACGAGGGACTCAAATGGCCCTGAACAAGACTGCCATGAGTTATCTAGAATTTGCAAATGACTATATTGTGGCGGGAGGTGGTTCGGCCGTGGTCCCCATTACACCCAACGACTACTTGTATCCCCGTCTCAAAGAACCACTGGAACGAGCCCTCCAACAATCGCCCGAATCGCTCAGCATTAATGTCTATCATTCGGGAAATCAAGCCGTGGCACTCAATCGTCATTACGATGCTTACGATGTCCTCGTTTGGCAAACCAATGGCAAGAAAGAATGGGAGGTACAAATAGATGCTAGCAATACGTGGAAAAACATTACCCTGCAACCGGGGGATCTATTGTACATTCCCAAGGGAGTCTATCATGCTGCCACCACGGCACAGGGATGCAATATTTCCACTCATGCTACCATTGGATTTCTGGAAACTAAATAAAAATAATTCCAATGGAGGCAAATACGACACACAAGTTTTGGGTGCCAGCTGCATGTCGAGCAATCAAGTGACTGAGACTCGTTGGGCCGATCGAGCCAGCAACGAAACATTGCAATGGAGTTTCACGGGCGATGGATTATTTTTGGTGAGAGTCAAGCCGATCGAACCGGCGTCGATCTGTCGCTTCGTGAGATTCATTGTCAGAAATTCTACAGAGACCTTTGAAGAACTGAGGCGCCACTCAAACCACGCAGGAGTCGTTCCAATTTGCTCCTGTCGTAAGATAATAATGTTTCGAGTATGTATAAAGATGGAGAAAGAGGGGCCTTTGTGTTTCGTTCAAAAGGTAGCAAGCAAAGTACCGAACCATGGCACGGACGGAGTCCTTCTGCACCTGAGCACATAATCGACGCAATCCAAGCTGGATCATCCCTCCATGAAGTCGCCAGAAACCGGAGCTTGCTTTGCTTGGGACGAGCACGTTTCACGAAGCTGCCACTTTTGCATGATTGGGGCTGGCTATAGCTAGCAACCGGTAGAGAGATGTACTTTTGTCTCACGGAAGTCACTGTGCACTATGGCACGATTGAGGCTGGCTACCTAGCTGTAGAGTCTTCTTGGCGCCACACGCCCTCCTGTGGTCTCACGGAATCCAGCTAGGCAGATCCAAGGATGGGTTCATGCATGTATGTGCGTGGCCTTTTCGTTTTGTATCACCAGCGGCAACCATACCCGAATCGAATCGAATCGAATCCTTACCATACTCTACACCTACACAATTTGTCCCTATAGCTACATATAACTGCCCGCCACGGAGCCGACGAATGCTGAATTTTGTGACCAATGCGCCCGCAAACACGCACAGAAGATGCTACGGCGAACGATCAGGCTTCGTGGAAAAGAATCAATACACCCGCAGTGCATGCATGATCCCTAAAAACACGAGCACTCATCATCACAACCACACAAAACTCCTGTGCAGTCAAATGACAGGCCCTGCTGCATGTCACAGGGGTCAAACAAGAATACAGAGCCAGCACAGGTGGCATTCATGTTGCAAATTGCTTTTGGAATGGTCCCTGACAAAAGAGGGTTTCCTTCCAATGCCAATGTGTGGAGCGATGGATGAAGAGCTGAAAACTCATTTGGCAGAGTCCCAGAAAGCGAGTTGTTGGCAAACGTTAGACGGCCAATGGAACTCAGTTTGCCAAATTCGCTGGGAATGCGACCTGTGAACTGGTTCCCCTGAAACTCGAGCACTGCAAGCTGTGACAACAACCCAAGCTCTGTAGGAATCGTCCCTGAGAGAGCATTGTTGCGAAAGCTGAGAGTGACTCTACTTTGTGTCAAAAGACCAAACTCGCTTGGCAGAGCGCCGCTGAATTGATTCCCGGCAAGTCCGAGCAAGGATATTGTTGACATTTGTCCCATTTCTGAGGGCAGTGTCCCGTGCAGCAAATTCCCGAAAACAGAAAGAATCCGTAGTTTCTGAAGAAGTCCAATGGCACTTGGAAGGGTGCCAGCCACGCGGTCACCGGTCAGTGTCATCATTTCAAGGTTACTTAGCTGTCCAATCTCTGATGGGATGGTTCCTATATGAGAAGGTGAGAATTGAGCACAGATCATCAACGTGAAATAGGACATTCCCTGCAGCCGTACCTGTGATATTACACCGATCCATCAACAGCCACCTTAGGCTTTGAAACTTTCCGACGCTCGATGGGATTGTTCCCTGCAACCGAGGGTTCACACCGAAACTCAAATGCCTCAAGTTGGTCAAGCTCCAGATGTCTGTTGGAATATTTCCATGATGATCATTGGCATCAATGGCAAAGACTTGAAGGTTGCTCAGTAGTCCAATTTCCGAGGGTATGATACCGTTGTGTCCCATGCTAGCGAAACCGAGTCCTTCCAATGCGGTCAGTGCTCCAATCTGGCTGGAGATTGTGCCTTGTATGGCATTGAACCCGACAGACAGTGTTTGGAGGGAAGTCAGGATGTAGAGTTCTTCTGGCAGAGACCCTACAAGATTGTTTCGGTCCAACCAGAGATGTTGGTACAAGCCATGTTGGTTGCAATTTGTGGTTGGCATTGGCTCTAGAAAACCAGAAAGGACACCTGGGTATAGGCTGGATGTAAATGCCTTTGTGGCAAAATCAGGTTTGGTGTACCATTCGCACTCAGGTATGCTATGGTTGAGCCAGTTCGTGTTGTTGTTCCAGTCATTGCCTGCTGTAGCATAGTACAGGGTGGCTAGGGCGAACCTTTGCTTGATGCGATCATTGGAGTGGGATACCAGAGAGTCCTGGTCCTCCCAGAGCCACTGCCATGCCTTGGATTGGGGTGTACTATCCTCAGTAGCAATGGCCCTTATAGTCTCGTCGGAGAACAAGGAGAGAATGGATCCCTCCAAAGAAGTTGGAGCTTGGGAAGGGGGCAGTGTTGGTACCTCCTCATCAGGATCAGTATTCTTCTTGGATGCCGAGATGGTGACTGTGACGACAATCGTCCCCATGGCAATGAGCAAAATGGCTGCCAGCAGGATATTGGTTTTGAGTTTCTTGTTGCTGTCTCGTCTTCTCTTTCGAGCATTCTCATGGTCCGGGAACGCTTGATGCACTTGCTCGTCTTGGTCTACCAGATTCGCCACTGCCAAGCTCTCCTCGGTGTCGTCCTGTGTGCCGGAGGTAGAATGCATGGTTACAGTTTCCCTCGTCGTGGTGGTGGCTGGATTCTCTTCCTCCAATAACAATTGTCCGGGAAGTAGTCCATTGGACCCCACGTAAATGGCCCCCGGTTGACTTGTCTGGCGACTTGTTGGATCATTATTTCCACCCGGCAGTGGCTGTATACCCGCCACAACAAGAGTCGAAAAGCACATGGGCCCATGTCCGTTTTCATTGATGGCATCAATAGCGGTAGCAGCCGACGTAGCCGTTTCTTCTTTGGCTTTGACTTCCTTCACTCTGATGTCTTGTTCTCCCTCCGAATCCTTGTCCATTGTTGCTGTTGCTGTTGTAGTTGGAGGAGTAAGCATTGGGTTCTCCAATTCAAATCGACGAACTGACTTCTTTATGACGGTATCATATAAACTTATTCAGGATGAGTGCGAGGTAAGCTCCCATTCCAATGCTGTGCCGCTGTCTGGGTTCTGTTCGGAGTAATGACAATAATGGCCAAATTCAAAATTAATCGAGGCAGTCTCCCACTGGTCACTGGTACATGTACATGTACCATGTACCCCGAAGCATTAAGTAGCAAGTGAAGGGGCAACGTGAAGGGTGACCTAATTAATAGTTAGGAGTTCTACGAAAAAGACCAACGAAACAATGTCAATTGCCAAAGGTGCCATTCTATGATTTAATAAGCCAGCGGAGCTGTGTAACCTCGGCAGAAAGGTTTCAGTGTAGAAGCAGATACCCCTATTAGCTAGCTAGCTAGAAGCAGATACCTCTAGTGCTTAGCTAGTGCTTAAGGAGGTACCACCAGGTCTGCACGTCAGTCGGTAGGAACCCGGAAATCTCTCGTGTTATTCTTCCTTTTATCGAGCGTTTTTTATCAACCGACCATGATCCAAAGCAGTTATATGGCTGCCGCTGCCGTTCCTTCCACCGATCACGTAGAGACCCGTGCAGTGGATGTGTGCGTTCGCAATAGCCATGGCTGTTAACTTGCGTCGGGGTAGAGAGGTGCTGGTTCTTTATACGTGTGGGAAATTTCGTGAAGGAAGGTGACATCAGGCGGACCAGGCTCCGTACGAAGGATGTTTGCCATTGCAAGGACAATAAAGAAATCGTTTTCATGACCAAGTTCAAGCCTGACCCATATGAGAATTTTATGGTTCTTCGTCCTGAGGCAGCAAGTGAAAAAAAAAAAAATGAACGTCTAATAACGGATTCAGACGAGATGTGCTTGAGGACTACCCACGAGCTAAGGCTCGGGTATTTCCCACAGTCAAGTCTGCTCACCGGCCACACTGGCCTCCTGAGAGGGTGCGACGCCTGTTAGCTATCTAAGGATTTGTACACTGAGGTCGGAGCCATGATTCACCACAAATCACGAGCTCTTTGTTGAAGAGAGTTGGGGTTGGTAAAGAAGTTTGAGGGGGTAGGAGGGGTAAGGAAAAAGGCAGCAAGTGAGATGGTGGCAAGAGCAGACAGGGATGAGTTTCATAATGCATCTTTTGTTGTGGTCCCCAGCATCAAGAAGCTTGTCACTGACGCAATGAATCATGCCTACCTTTGTGTTGATGATGAGCCAGTTGAAGATTATCATTCGGAGGATGAAGTTGACGACAAGCCCAAAAAGTGTGACTGCGTTGAGGAACATGGTCTCTTGACGTGTGGTGTGAATGAAGCCCCGCTCAGCTTGGTGGATAAGAATGATTTCCTCCATTCTTTGAAGAAATACATCTTGAAGAAAACGAATGGGAGAGTGTACAGCTCTTCCAGTTCCTCAGTCACGGCTTCCGAATCTTCGCCAAATCCAATACAATCTACAAGATGTAGAGTTGCAATAGCAATGTCTTGCTCGCTCATCTCTGTTTGGCCATCAGTTGAAGGCTCTGCATCCTCTCCATTCATCGGGACTGTGTCAACTCGCACATGACACATCCGCGAAAACTGGATCGCGAGTGGCCAACTTCTCCACAGCTTCCACACACTTTGCCGGTAGTATCAGTTTTCTTCGAAATCTTTCTTTTCTTCGCTGGATTCTTTTTTGTCTTGGCAATGGAGATACCAGAGGAATACATGCGGCCGTCCTTTCGGTCTTGTTCCAGCTTTTCCTGGTACTCCTTGAGCTTCAAGTAAGTTTCCCTATTTCTTTTCTTTTTGTATTCGATGGTCCTTCGCTTGCTGTTTTTTTTTTTTTGATACTCCTCTTGTTGCCGCAAGAAATAGGTGGTTCCTTCCTCCATTTCCAACCCAAGGGCATGGAACAGTCTACTGAAGAACTCCTCCACACCCAACAGAGTGATGCCAACAGCAATGCAAACCCGGTTTTGGAGGGAGAGTGAACCGGCGTAGACTTTGTTCTTGGATGCGAGCCAGGCTATTGTGTTGTTGAGCGATTCATTGGCGTTAGTTGTCATGTCATGGTTTGATTCATCGAGGCGTTCCATCGTGGTAAATTGATTGAAAGGATCTACCAGTGATTCGTAGAGAGACTTGTCTTTTGTCTTGCTCCTGTACACTTTCCCACACTCACTCCTTTCCTTTTCTGACATCTCTTTACGTAAGCAGAAGTCTCCACAGAATTCATGGTTGTCGAATGTGTATTCCAGCACGGCCTTGGCAGCATCAGCCCATTGTTCTCTAGGCATGGACGGAAGCTTTTTCAGGAAGTAGACATAGTAAGTTGTCAAACGAAGAATGTCGCCTCCAGTCATGTCGAAACTTGCTTTAACACCCTTGCCCTTTATCGCGTACAGATGGTTGCGGTATGTTTTCTTTCGGTGAGCAGGATCGGCAACAAACACTGGCTCTGGTACCGGCTAGCGAAGGTGTTCGTCTGATCTAGTCTTTGCTTTTCCCTTTTTGGTGTACCCCAGTATGGGTAGTTGTCGAGTTTATGGCGTGTCAACCAATCTTTGTTGCTCCATTTGCAATGAGCCTTCATCGTGGAGTCATCATCGGTGCAGATCTTGTCCACGGCAACATTGTGCAAGTCATACAATTCCTCAACCATGATCAACAATGATTGGGACTCCATCCCACCGGAGCTTCCTTCATAATTGATGGTACACTCGTGCTCTGGTACGTTCAGCCCTCTGCTCAGATGGTATTGGCACTTGCGACAGAACTTCGATCTCTGACAAATAACACATGGTTTCCCAGTGTTTGCTCCCATAATGCTGGCATGACCAGATGGTGAGTTGTATGACCGGCCACTGCCTTTCTGATTCCATCCCATATCCATTCCACCATTGATGGTCGCTCTTTGTTCTGGCCTTTCACCCTTTCTAACAGATGCCTCCCATTCCACGAAATTTAAGTTTATTCCATGATTACTCCTGCGAACTTCCTCCACCAAATTGTCCACAAGGGCCTTGTGACAAACTTCGCAGATATGTGGAGCTAGTGCAAGTTCAATGTTGGAGAAAGACTTCTTCGACATTGTGGTGTAGTTGGGTAAGTTCAACATGGCAAGTGTCCGTTGTGCTTCAACACCACCATCTCCAGACCAAAGGAAAGCTAACACAAACTGAACGTTGCACGAAAAATCCAGGTTTGTTGTGTGGTTCGAGAGCTTTGGAAGGGTAGTCCTGGACACATCAGATTCTTTCAGTTCACCGAATGACTTGCATTCTTCATTGCCACAGGTCAACTGACCGACAGAGGCAACACACGTAGTATTGAATGTAAGCTGGACACTTGGCTGCCTGCATGTAAAACATCGTGTGTTGCCATTGACTAATTGGGATAACCCTTTGTGCTCCAGGATCAGTCGACGTGGAGTTGGTGACTTCTTCCTTGTGTCTTCCTTCACGGCTAGAGGAGAGAGGGCAGTTGCAACATTGTCGATTACTGGAGAAGGGGTTGGTTTTGGATATTCCTTCCTCTTCGGCGCTCCCATGTTCAACATCGAATGAGCCCAACCAGGCCTCTTCGCAATGACGTCCACCCGGTTTCCGGAAGCTAACTTGTTGATTTCTCTCTGATAGTTGCTTGTTGCCTTGTTCTCACTGATGGCAAAACAAGGCAATATGGGTGTAACTCCTCTCTGACGGCGACTTTCTCTCAATACCGGAGTTGAATCATCTCCTCCTACCACTGCCGGAGTTACAATTTGTGGGTTGTCTGTAGAGGTTTCAGCTCCTTCCTCTTCTGAGGCAACATTCATAACTTGCCGTTGTTTACTTTTGTTGCCACAGAATTGGCCATGGTCGCCGGTTGCCAGCTAAAATAAAAAAGAATTCCATCTCCGGGTAAAAGTCGCTGCAAACGTCAGAGACTGACTAGGTGTGGATTGACCATGGTTCAACATTGATTTCTATTTTAGCTATCGACTATGGACTGGACAAAACAAACTCGGGAGTAAAAGCGGGTGGTATCTCCTTAACTTGCGCTTAGCTAGCTAGAAGCAGATCCCCCTAGCTAGAAGCAGATTCCCATAGCAAGCTAGAAGCAGATACCCCTGGCTAGCTAGAAAACAAGTTATATAGCTTTCACTGGCTTTAGAGTTTTTCCTGGTAGAAGCAGACCCCCCTACTAGGATGCATGTAAATAGCTTTAGCTGGTTTAAAAGCACCATCCTAGGATACTTATTTAGTTTTTGCTGACTTATTTGTATTCTAACCCTACCCTTATACCTGCAGGGACCACCGTAGCAGGAAAAACAATTAAAGGGGTTGAGGGCTCTGGCAGCAAGACTGCCGAGGTAAAGCCATTCTGAAGCCAATCGTACTCCCTACTCCTCGAAGAAGAGCTAGTGGTATAAATACAAACGTCGCTCGAGGAGTAGTCTACATTCAAATTGAGAGTTCCTCCGACATTCAAGGCCTCCTCGACTTTTCAGTAACTATTGCTATCACACTACCGGTACGCAAACAGATATCGGTACCGCACGGGAGCTACCGCAACTATTTCAAACTATAGCTACTAGTAGCTAGCTCTACTACTACTAGCAAAGCTCGAGCTACTGGAGTATTCGCTTATTATTATTGTTTTGATGCTAAACTATCGGTACCAGGACATATAAGTATGCAAACGAGATAGTTGCTACATGTACATGTAATGGTTTCATTGCATGGCGCGCTGTGGAACCTCGGGCAGCATCAAAACGCTCGTGGATGGCACATGATGACAATTGATGTACTGTACCAGTAGCTAAGTCAATTTGGAGCAGAAACGAGCGTGGTCCGATCTGTACCGAGAGATCCAAGCGAGCGATCTACATTACTATACGGAGGCAGGGCTCATTGAGTGGCGCGTACACCGAAATGGAACGTTTTTGTACGACAAGCATGCATGCAAAGCAAGTGCACGTTTGCTTTGCCCTAATGTTCGTGTCTTCTCTTGCTGTGGGCCACACACAATACGGTATGGATCGAGGGCTCTACTACTACTGGATTATCAAGCAACTACATGAACCGTACGGTGTGTTCGTTGTATGGATTTTTATGCTCGTCTTCCATGAGCAGCAAAAACATGTTCTCTCTCTCTTTGGACGTACGGTTCGGGGGCACGACGTGGAACGATCCATGCGACCTCCGTGTGAGATCGAAAAACGAATGGAACGACGTGCCATGGAACTACCGTACTCGACCTACCGTTCTGAGATTGAAAAACGAATGATCGATTCGATTCCACTACCTCAAGCCATACCATACTACCCACCAACCGAACACGTATGCATGATTCGATTCATTCGATACCCTCACTCATTCATTCATTCATTCCTCCATGAGTTTCCTCCAGAGCGCGTAGACTTGCTGTTGGTGGATTGGATCATCATGGCCTTCGTACAAGACGGCCCGTCCCATGACGGCTTGTGCTTGTTCCAACTGGCCCAATTGTTGATGGGACAATGCCACGTATTGGTGAATTCCCGGCGTGTGTCGATTATGTTGTTGTGTATCGAGTGCGGCTTGTCCCAGATTAATAGCACCTTGATAATTGCCGTGTTCGTAGAGACAACGACTGAATCCCATGAAAACCCGTCGTTGTTGCCGTGGCGTCAACTGGGATTGTTTCGGATAGTCCGTCATGAGTTGCTGATAGAGGGATTCTGCCGTATCCCAGTCTTGTTGGTGCGTGAGTATGTCCAGCATTTGGAGCCGACACTCGATGAGATCGGTTTCGAGGGCAAGGAGGGATCCCTGATTCATGATTTCTAGAATTTGATTCTGGACTTGTTGCATTTTTTGATACGTAGTTTCATCGATTGCACCCTCGTCGTCGTCCGACTCATCGTCCGTAGTCTTGTTGTTGTTCTTGTTGTTTTTACTAGTCTCACTAGAAGATTCACTCAATACCCGTCCTTGTTTCATGAGTGCATCGACCTGTTTCTTGCGCTCCACACCAGATTGCCAAATGCGCAAGTTTTGTTCTACAATTAGCATGGCTTGCTTGTAATCGCCTCGCACTGTGGCAATCTGCGAAGCAATGTAATTGGCTTGCAACGTGTCTTGATCACACGTTGGTGATTCGAGTTGTTGCAATTGTAAGAGTGCCAATTGACACGCTGCTTCTACCTTCTTGTCGTCGTCGTGGTCGTCGTCTTTTGTATTATTCGTTTGCCAATGACAACTGGCCCGAGCCGTGTAGAGGAGTGCCTTGGAGAGGAGCGTGTCGCGACTGGTCGTAGTACTTGTAGTAGTAGTACGACAGCACGGACACTTGATTTTGTCGTTTTCAGTGATCATGGGTGGTTGATGCAAGTCTTGATACCGTTGCAAGCAAGGCACACAAAAGACATGACCACAATTGGACAGAGTCACGGGATGCACCATTTGTGGTTCTTCTGTTTCACAAATGGGACATGCTTTCTTCTTGTCCTTACTATTACTACTACTACTAGTAGTGTTGTCATTGTCATTGTTGTTATACAACAACACTAACTTGTCCTGAACCGACTGACAATCTTTCTTGTGATACTTCCAATGCCGTTTCTGACAGTCTTGACTGCAATAGTACACACAGTGACACTTGCCGCATCGCATAGATGGACTACTAGTACTACTACTACTACTACTACCAACGTGCGCACAACCATCACAGACAATCAGAGACTTTGGCGGTTGCGCATTGGCGGCCAAAAGCCGATTCTTCTTTTTCTTGGCGGAAGGAGGAGGCAAACTGAAAAAGACGGCCAAACCCAGCAGACCAATCCAAAACGATATCAACGCAATCGCATTCGTACCTGTACTCACATCTAACCAGGAAAGGAGTGTCATAGTGAAACAAACAAATCAGATCAGATCAGATGCTATAGATAGATAGATAGATAGATGGGCCATGGTCGATGGTCGATGGCAAATGGTCAAGATCCATGGATGGATGGATGCGTTGAGGTTGGTGCCTTACTCAGAAAATCGATTAAATCATGGAGAACCCATCGGTACTCAAAGCGACAAAAGCCAGCTGAAACGTCATGGAACCCGCATTCTAGCATGCACCCAGGCATGCCTCCTGTTTGTATGGTCAGTCTCACATTCAAGTAGCCCTATCGTACATGTATGTGGTTTCAACACAGCATATTATTATGAAACTTATATTATGAGGCAAACATGTACTAGTAATAATATATATTAATTAAATAAATCATGAATAACAAACACAACCATCTATTCATTCCGTTCAGGGTTCAGTTTGGTTCACCTCAGTTTGGTTTGCCTCACTCAGTGGCAACCAATGACCTTCACTCAGCCACACCAGCAGCTGACCATCTCCATAGACAATTTTTTCTCCCTCCAGGTTCGGAAATGTTCTATTGTCAGAACAACTAGATACACAAGTCACAGCCACAGAGCTGGCTGCTGCAGTCAAAAGTAAGGTTGTTGGCAGAACACAAGCTCTCAGGGATAATACCAGAAAAATCATTTCCATGCAAATAGACCTGACCATATGGTGGAGGAAAGGGAACATTGCCAAGCTCAAGGGGCACTGTTCCAGTCAAATCATTGTCATGTAGCCAAAACTGGAACAAACCCTCAGTAAACTGTCCCAGCTCTGTAGGAATGGTTCCTGCTAGGTGATTGATTTCCAAGGTCAACACAGCAACTTGCTCGCACATTCCAAATTCGCTTGGGATTGTGCCCGACAAAGCATTCGAACCAAGCCACAAGGAATATAGCTTTGTTAGAAGGCCAAGTTCTGTTGGGATCTAGAGGGAAAAGGAGAAACTTCATGTTGTTAGAAGAAGAAGTTATTTCGACAGGGTTGACACAAAGATAGGCTTACAGTCCCAGTAAAGGAGTTTTCCGACAGTGTCAACGTGTCTATGGATGTCATGTTGTCAAGCCATCTAGGGATTGTCCCATTAAAACCCGAGTTATCCAGGTACAAAAGTATCATGTCTGTAAGAGCTGCAAGCTCATTGGGGATCTACCAGACCCGAGCCCTAGCTCGTGGGTAGTCCTCAAGCACATCTCGTCTGAATCCGTTATTAGAAGTTCAGTTTTTTTTTTACCAGAGTTTGCTGGTCAGATCGCAAACACTGAGAATCTATCAATGCCATTTTCACTTACAGTACCGCTCAGAATCAGTTCACTCAGCAACAAGGCCTCTAACCCAGTTAATCGCCCAAGTTCTGTGGGAATTGTCCCAGTGAAAAAGTTGGTGTCAAGTGCCAGACCCCCCAAATTAGTCAGCAATCCCAGTTCTGTTGGTACCTGCAACATTGGAAACAGCTAGTGAGAAACACCAAACATTCACAGAGACAACAAATTTGTACCTACTGGTCCTGTCAGCTGATTTTCTACCAAAACAATGGCTTGCAATGAGCCTGGATGGGAAAACAGGGATGATGGAATCTGGAAAAGACAGCAATTCAAGGTGAAGAATTGGCAAGGTGAGATATTGCACCAAGCTCTCTCAGATACTCCATATATGTTGCCTCTTACAGTTCCAATCAAGGAATTGAACCCAAAGTAAACGACTCTAAGTTTTGACAAACTGCCGAGTGCTTCATGAATGGAGCCATAAAGGCTGCAAAAATTCATGGAAATAAACTCCAAATTTGAAAGTCGAGAGAGCTCTTCTGGGATTGTGCCGGTAAGGTTGAATCCATCCAATGCCAAGCTCTTGAGGTCTGTGAGCAAGTATAGCTCTGGGGGAATCCCTAATCCGATCAGGCCATTAAAGGTCAGCGAAAAGTGCTTCAGGATTCCATCTCCCTGATACAAGATGCCACCCTCTAGATATCCAGCTGGATCTTGATCACACGGACTGTCATTCCTACCATCCCTTTTTCCTTACCCCTCCTACCCCCTCAAACTTCTTTACCAACCCCAACTCTCTTCAACAAAGAGCTCGTGATTTGTGGTGAATCATGGCTCTGACCTCAGTGTACAAATCCTTAGATAGCTAACAGGCGTCGCACCCTCTCAGGAGGCCAGTGTGGCCGGTGAGCAGACTTGACTGTGGGAAATACCCGAGCCCTAGCTCGTGGGTAGTCCTCAAGCACATCTCGTCTGAATCCGTTATTAGACGTTCAGTTTTTTTTTGATCACACGGACTGTCACCCCAAAAAATGAAATAATAATCCTCCAGACTTGAATACCAAAGGCACTCATGAATGCTGTGGTTTAGCCAATTGTCTCTAAAGGACCATTGTTCTCCACTGTTGGCAAAATAAAATGTTGCAAGTACAAAACGTTGCACAACTCTCTGTTCTGTAAGGTTGTGTAGGATGTCGATCTCTTCCATAAGCCATTCAAACGCCCTCGACTGGGGAGATCCTTGGTCCTCCAAAATTGCAGAGACTGTTGATTCTGGAAAAAGCGACAGCCAGGATTCTGAATAGGACGACAGTCCCTGAGATGGGTTGCTGCTGGGTGACTCACTGGGTACGGTTGTTGGGACAAGACCTGCATTGTTCTCTTGACGTTGAGGAATCAGGATGGCAATCAAAATGAGAGTGATGGCCAACAAGGCAATGACTCCCAAGAGCACATTGGTTTTGAAATCCTTCATCTTTTCTTCTCTGTTGTTGATGATGATGTCCAGATTGTAATCTTGTGCCTGGGGCAGATCCTGGGGGATTGTTTCATCTTGAACCAAGTTTGCCACAGCCAAACCACTATTGTCAATTTCTGGTTCGATCCTAGGTGGCTGAGCAGTCGTGGGTTCGATGTGTGTCTCTGCTGGCTCCAAATTTTCCTCTGTTGCTTGAAACTCTCCACTTGGAAAGGCTCCTGGCTGTACTTGGGGTCTTCTGTTGGCAGTAGTCCGCTCCAATCGAGGCAAAGGCATAATTCCAAAATTGTCATCATTTTGTACCCTTTCGTCCCGAGCTACATTGTTAGTGTGTATTGTGTTAGCATCAACAGTGCCGGATATATTGATCAAATTTTGTTCCTCGTGGTGGTTCTTCTGCTCAAAGGCTGACGGGGTAGCTTCGTGGCCAGGCTGGAGGCAACGTTATCTTCTGGTGGAGGCACAGTTGTGATATGCTGATTGCTCTCACCTTTGCTTTGACCTGTAGTGCTGTTTGTTTCTCCTCTTGGGTATATGATAGCTCTTTTTTCAGCTTGTAGGATAGGAGAATTGACAGTGGTAAGTTTGCTGGTTTGCCCTTGGCTGTTGTTGTTCGTAGAATCAGTCTTCACTGGTACTGCGGTGCCAGACAAATCTCCTGGATTATCTGAGGCATTTCTTCTGCTTTCGAATGGCCCACTTTTTGGATAGGCAATGTGTTGCTTTTCATGTGCCAAGAGAGCACTGGCATTGGCAGCTGGTGGAACTTGTTCTGTCTGACAAGGTGGAACTTCTGTTGTCTGAGCAACTGTTCCACGATTTTTGGGATATGCAATGTTTCGTTTTTCTGCTGCCAACATGGATGGTTCCTCCTCTTCATTCTCCTCCTTTTCTTTCTCCTGTTCCTGTTGTCACTCATTGTGTACCTGCTCTTGGTTGTTGTTGTCAAAACCCTCCTTGCCGGGCTTCCCAGCCTCCGCTTTCTTCATGGTTTCTGATGGTTTGATGGCTACCGGTAGAACTTGGTCGACGTCTTATCGTACAGTATGTTCATCTGATACCAATACTACTCATCAAGTCCATCCATGCGCAACACGCACACAGTTCGGCGTGTTACGTGCACGAGTGTCAATTGATCGATTACTCTAAACCCCCCTTTATCTTGTTTCTTGCCATGGTTGAACATCGCAAAAGGAGATCCAAAAGGAGATGTGTACATGTCAGTCGTAGTTTTCTCCAGTCATGGAAGCAACGTCGGTTCCTACACGGATGTAGCTAGCTGTTACTGCCGTACCGGTACAGTTTTAGGTACCAGAGGTACTGTAGTATCAGCTAATGTCGCCACTTAACAATGACTCTTATACGTCCACTTTGCGACTATCGAGAATTAATATTGATGTGAGGTGTTAGTTCCTAGGAGACTCCACGACTTAACAACACATATTTCCCCAAACTATCGCGAATTTTTTATCAGGGGCAGTCGGGACTACCGCGATTTTGAAGTCTTTGGCGAAACTTCAACCTCCCCGCCAGAGTGCATGGGTGTCTTATCCACCGTGTGGAAACTGGCGAGGACCAGCCTATTTTGCATTGGATCCAGGTCGGGTTACAACGCTAACCCAACCCAATGCCGAATGAATGAATCGAAGCAGATGCAGTCTCCGTGGAACTAGTTGTAGATTAGTCGGTTTCCAAAGTTCACAGCAACTCTTTATTCTAAAGAAGGAAACCATGGTCCAGCCGAGAACAAGTATCGTAAAAGGATCGATTGAACCTGGTGCATGGAGGGCGGGCGGGTGACAGCAAGCAATTCCAGTTCCGCGTTCTCTGCTTGTGATCCGTGATAGCGTTCCATAACGTTACCTTGTTTTCAAAAAATTATGGATGGGCCGTGTGTGTGTGTGATCCCAAGAGCACTCCTTCCGGCCATGCAGCCGTGCAGCATTGTAGCGACCGTTCGCGGGTAAACCGTCGCAGTCGTGGCCTTATATTGGCTTCCTTTCGACAGACAGACAGACAGACACTGCGCATAAAGCAAGATTGTTGTCGTCGTAGATCCGTTTCACGTACGTGTCCTGTCCTCTCCACTACACCGCCGTCGCTGCATTATTGTCGTCATTGTCAATAAAAAACTGCAGTATAAAGTGAATCCACCAATGCTTGGTCAATTTCTCCCACTGATACGTATCCCACTGTTGCAACATGTCATGATACGTCTGTTCCAACAAGGCGGGTGTGACTTGGGCATAACTCTCCACTACCAATGCCGGCAAGTCATCGAGGGTCCGAAACCATCCATCGGGCATGCGTTTTTTACCGAGTGTTTCCACAATGGGACACACACCCATAAAGAGTGCCTCCCACGTCCGATAACAATCCAGGCCCAGACCGTGCGGACTGAGGAGAAATTTGGATCCGGCCAGCAATTGAAAGTATTCCACTTTGGCAGATGCCTTTTTACGATCCTTTTCGGGCCATGTTTGTGCCGTGGAAATGGTGGAGTTTTGAAAATTGAAATCGAGTTGTTGTTGGGCTCGTGCTCGTGTCTGCTTCTTGAGACTGAAACTGAGCAAGATTTCGCGTCGCCGCGTAATGGGAGCGGGCAGAGTATGCGGCGATGGCAATTTGCGAAAGACCGTGTAGGCGGCATCGACGACACTGGGGTTCATGAACCCAAGTGGAATGGAATGGGTTTTGGGATGATCCCATTTGTAGTGAAACTGCGAAGTAATGGCAGCCAGTGTATCCGGATGATCGAGATAGGTGCGAATGTCTTGTTTGGAACATCCCATTTTGGACCATACTTTGGCGACGTCTCGTCCATCGGTGGTTTCTCCTGGAATTTCACTGGAGAGTCCTCCCAAATCTTGCTGGAATCCAAAAAGGAGGACATGACGCCATGGTTTTTGGGGATGCAGTGCTCGATACTGATTAAAGAGCAGTGTGGCTTGACAGAGACTTTCGTATTTGGAGCGAAAGAAGATAATGTTGCGATTGACGTCGTTATTGCCAACCAGAGGAGTGGGATGATCGTGCGGCACAGATTGTCGTTTTTGAATGTGATGGTCCAAATCCTTCTTGGAGACCTTGTACCAACGGTTTTTTGGCAATGCTTGAAAGAGACCCTCCATACTGTCAAAGCCAAAATACATAAAGTCCATCTTGTTGGTGCCACGCAGCGCTTCGTAGTGCCGTTGGTAGAACTTGTACTCCAAGTCCGTGTAGTTGACTGCAGCAGCAGGAGATCCAGATGTAGGGGTATCTTGGGTAGCATGGGTAGCCAACGGGGTAGCATGGGTAGCTTGGGTATCTTTGGCCAAATCTCCCATGGTTGTCTGGGTAGCATTGATAATGGTATCTACAGTACTACCGCCAGTACTAGTAGTCGAACTACTACTGGTAGTAGTGGAAGTGGTTCTCTGTACATCATGCTGTTCCATGAAAAGCACGGCAAAGCTGCAAAGACACAAAACCACAAAAGTGCCGCTCACGGCAACTTTCTTCTTCTTTTGCTGAGAGCTACCAGTAGATAATGATAATGATAAGGATGATGCTGGAGTTGTTATGGGAGTACTCCCGCTACCGGTATTAATAGTAGCAGGCAAAGAAGAACGGGAAGAAGGAGATCGGGAGGTCATGGTCAGAAAAAATGACACTGCAATTCTTGGTCCGCTCAAGCAATAAGCCAGCATACTGCCAATCTGTCATAGCCTGGCGTCGATTGATGCGTGGTCCGTACGATAGCTAGCTTGAGATCCGAACGGTGCTCTTGGATCAATGATCGCCTTTGCATGACATGCATGCCCATGCAGAAGAGTATATCTTTGCTTGTTTGATCTATCTAGCTATAGCTGGCTAGCTAGCTAGCTGTGACCAAAAAACACCAACCATATGAGTAAGCGTACTACCGAAGAGAATGCTGACAAACTGGGCAACCTGGGTTCTTCTTCCAACAACCAAGAGCAGGACCGTATACATGCGACCAGGCAAAGATTCACGAGGCCAGCCAAGCAGAAAACTTGCTACCCCTGACAACGAACACACAGCCATGTACAGCATCCAACGAACCATACAATACTAGCCGACAATAACCAACACAGGCAACCGGAGAAACCGGATGAACTGGCGGATGCTTCCATTGTTACATCCGTGATGACACAATCAAATGTCGTACACAAACATTCGGGGATACGTGCATGAAAGCTGAGACGACGAACAAGTCTAACATGCTGCTTGCTTCAAAGCCCACCGTCTTGACTCACTCCTCCTTCTATTGCCTGACCCTAGCTAGCATTATGGGTAGTATCCTTTTGTACTGGCTGTCAATAATATATGAATGCAGGAGCAATCCCCTCCATTCAGTTCAACTCGTTCCCAACCATGGTCTTCGAACCGTATAGAGTGTTTATACTCTAGCTAGCTAGCCATACCAGGTACCGTATAGCAGCTTCCCGTGTGGTGGTACAGCGTGCATCTAGATATTGTGGTAGCAAGAGCCACGGATGCATAATTAAAAATAATATTTTACGCAGGGGCTACAATGGTTTCACGAAGAGGTTGAGAGGAGAGTGCAAGGGGCAAGGGGCCATACTATGCAGTAAGAATGGGCCATCGTTCCATAGCGGAAGGAAACACAAATTTAAGGGTCTGATTCAACCATTTTCAATTCACATTCATTTTTTACGTCATCTTGGCATTGAAAGTCCATGCAACCTCTACTAATACGTCTTCCAGAAAATTTCGATGACGCGGTGCAAATTTTATATAGTAGTTGAGGTAAACGTAGGGTTAGCATGTAATCGTTATTATTATTACCATAAACATTATTCCCGCAGCTTCCTGCATCGTAAAAGCCAGACACATATGAGTCATTCATGTGACCCGCTCGTGCCCGAAGCTTCTCCTTGCATTCATGGTGCAACCATGCCTATGGCAATGGCTGTGATGTAACCTCTAGTGTTACTTTTTTGTTGTTGCTTGTGTCGTTGAATTCAACCGTCAAACTTTGAACACCAATAAGCGGCCGCTTGTACTGTACCGGTACAGTCTGTTAACCACCATGCAGAACCAATGGGATTCTTCCCACAACAAAATCGGGGAGGAACAGGAGAGAGAACAGCAGGAAAATAAAGAGGAATCAAACTATTTGGCTGACGAAGCCAAGCAGTCGATCGCCAATCCAGCACCAATGACAGCTCACCAACAGGATCATCAGCAGCAAGAGCACCACCAGGAACAAGGAATTGTCAGCAGTATGTCGGGCAGTGGCAAGGCCAACGGACTCGTTGACACTGATGTACTAGTAGCTCAAGGCGAGATTTTACAAAATGATGGCAATTTTGGAATGATTCCTTTGCCTCAATTGGAACGGACTACTGCCAACAATAGTGACACCCAAACGCAACCAGGAGCCTTCCCAAGTGGAGATTTTCCAGCAATCCACGAAAGTTCAGAAACAACGACAGAGATAACACACATTGAACCCGGGACAGAGGCACTCGACTGGTTAGGGTTTCGACCACCTACAATCCAACCTACAATCCAACCAGAAAATGACAATGGAGATTTGGCTGTGGCAAACTTGGTTCAAGATGAAACAATCCCCCAGGATCTGCCAGAGGCTCAAGATTACAATCCAGACAACATCAACAACAGCAGAGAAACAAGGATGAAGGAATTCAAAACCAAAGTCCTCTTGGGAGTCATTGCATTGTTGGCCATCATTCTCATTTTTGTAGCCATCCTGACTCCTCAAAGTCAAGAGGATAATGCAGATATTGTCCCAACAACCTCACCTAGTGAGTCCCCCAGCAGCAACCCATCGGAGGCACCAACTTCGTATTCAGAATACTGGCTGTCACTTTTGCCTGAACCAACAGTCTCTACAATTCTGGAGGACCAGGAATCACCACAGTCGAGGGCATTCGAATGGCTTATGGAAGAGGTTGACATCCTACACAACCTTACAGAGCAGAGAGTCGTACAGCGTTTTGTACTTGCAACTTTCTATTTTGCCAACAGCGACGGACGATGGTTCTTGAGTGATAATTGGTTGAATCACAGTGTTCATGAGTGCCTTTGGCATTCAAGTTTGGAACAATGGTATTTCACTTTTGATGCCAGAATAAATTTCCCACTTGATCACATCAGTCCATGTGAGCAGGAACCAGCTGGATATCTAAACGATGGTGTACTCTACCAGGGCGATGGAATCCTGAAGAACTTTTGGCTCCAATATAATGGCCTGTCTGGATCAGGTATTCCACCGGAGCTCTACTTGCTAACAGACCTCAAGAGCGTGGCATTGGATAATTTCAAACTTACCACCACCATCCCAGAAGAGCTCTTTAACCTTCCCAGTTTGGAGGTTATTTCAATGATCAGTTGTGACCTTTATGGCTCCATTCCTGAGGCAATCGGACGTTTGTCAAAACTTAGAATTATCTACTTTGCCTTGAACTCTTTGACGGGAACTGTAAGTGGTAACCAATGACACGCCTGGCAAGATTGTTCTGCAATGTCTCATTTTGTGAAATCGATTCTTTCAATTCTGCATGCATGGTTCCCAGATTCCATCATCCCTATATTCCCTTACAAACTCTATGAGAAGCATGTATCTTTTAGATAACCAGTTGACCGGACCAGTATGTACATTATGAGTCTTGTCTCTTGAGAAATGCTGTTTGCCGTCCTCACTATACTTTTTCGTCATTTTGTAGTTACCAACAACAGAACTTGGGCTGCTGCCTGATTTGCAGTTTATATGGTTTGCTGAAAATTTATTCACTGGGACCATTCCCACAGAGCTTGGAGAATTGAATCTATTGTATTGGCTAGATCTTGGCGGGCTGGTGTTGAGTGGCACTGTAAGTTTCTGCAGTGATGTTTGGGGGCTGTGATGTTTGTTTATTTGCATGTGTCCTCGCTGTGCTCACTGTTGTCCGTGATGCCTTTAGATCCCAGCCGAGCTTGAAGTTCAGACAGACATGATATTTCTGCAACTGTATGACTCAGGTCTTACGGGGACAATCCCCGGATGGCTTGGCAACATGACAAACATGAAAGTGTTTACACTGAGAAGAAACTCCTTTACTGGGACTGTAAGTCTTTTTGTGCCAGTCACGCACATTTCTACTTCTTCTAACATGAACCATTCTTTCTTCTTTTCCTCTAGATCCCAACAGAACTTGGCCTTCTGACAGAGTTGTCTTCCTTATGGCTTGGTGGGAATGCATTGTCGGGCACAATCCCAACTGAAATCGGAATGTACGAGCAAGTGTTAGCATTGAGCTTTGAAAACACTGACCTAATAGGAACCATTCCTACAGAGCTTGGACAGCTTACCCATGGTTTGTGGCAGTTGTTGCTACATGACAATGATTTGACTGGAACAGTGCCCTTGGAGCTTGGCAATGTTTCTTTCCTTGCCACGAGGGGCAAAGTCTTGTTGCATGGAAATGATCTTTCAGGTATTATCCCGGAGAGCCTTTGTTCTGTCAACAACCTTACTTTTGACTGCAGCAGCCAGCTCTGTGGTTGTGACTGGTGTAACTGTTCTAATGCTGGTATGAGTATGGTCCTGTTAGAAGTCGAGAATCAAACCAATGGCGATGGTCAGTTTGTGGGTGAGGAGAACCAGACTTCCACCTGAATGGGATGAACGAAATGAATGGCTGTTTGTGTTGATAATCGTACTATACATAATTTCATACTAAAAGGCAATAAGATCGATGTGATTCATCCTTGCATGGCTGCATGCATGGAACAGCAGTCCCATGCCGGCTCCGGACACCATTACTATCTGGTACCTAGTAGGGACTCGCGTGGTATGTGGTTGCATCATACGCTGGTAATTTCTCAGAAACCGTGCAATGTACGCTAGAGCTACATGTAGTAGGGAAGTTCTTCTGATGGAATGATGCCCACGGAAAAGCTGCCAACATGGGGACAAAACGTCCCAACTCAGGGTTCCATCAACAGCTCAGCTGGATTAAATTGAAGTTTCTCGTTTTCTCGGTTTTCGTCTTTTCTCTCGTCTCTCACCTTCCATAAACAAACCTCAGCAGATAGCACTGTAGATATATAAGGGGGTTCACTGTAGTGGTGACGGCTACACGTATACGGGTGCGGTCACTCTCTCATTGGGTCTTTTCTATCGTGAAGAGTATTCTTAGCAAGCTACCGGTAGCTAGCTAGAAGGGAGCCGAGTCGAGTCGAGTCTGTCCACAGGAACATACATACCGTACTACCGTACCGTACTGCCAGTCATCACAACTACAGTGTACAGTGTCAACATGGAGTCTACTAGTAAGTCTGGGGAAGGAAAAGACAAAGCACAGCCATCATCTACCGTTGCAGGCTCAGGTACAACGGGGACATCTCCCAACAGTCTTAAGTCACCCACAGCAACGGAACCGCCTTTGCAGGCAACTGGTATAGGTAAGAAAGTCAGCGCTGCTACACGTAGTGGCGGCACTATTGGGGCGGTAGAAGCAGAACGTAAAAAGCTAAGAGCCTTGCAACAAGAAACCCATGTGGACAAAGCCATGGATCCTCTCGAACTGGCTAAAATGATCGAAAGGAACAAGCTCCTAGCTTGGGAACAAGAAGCCCCCAAAACATCTGCTCTTGATAGTAACCTGGGGCGTGCCATGCCAAAGGCTCCGTCCACCGGTTCCTCCTCCAACTTACTGGCCCCCCAAAACGTGGAGGAAGCCATGGATCCTTTGGAACTGGCAAAAATGGTAGAAACCAGACTACAGCAAGGTTGGAGTCCAAACGAGCAAGATGACAGCCTACTACACCCCACCATGAACCCACGACTTGTCCTAGAAGATGTGGCGGACGGAAACATTGATCCCCTCCACTTGGAAAAAATTGTGCAAACACGGCTCCAACATCCAAATAATAATATCCAGCCTCCCAATACGACTACCACGACTTCAACCATGATGACACCAAGCATTCCCGGGGCGTATTCGGGTGCTCCCGGAACCGACCTGCAACGAACCGACGATTTACGATTCTCCCTCGTCGGGGCATCATCGGGGAAGGATTTCAAGGATTCCGTCGTCCATCATAGCGTGACGGCCAGTGGGGATCATCATCATCATCATCATCATCCTTCTGTCACGGCCAGTATGCTTCGAAAATCCACTACCGACACTGCGGTAACACTCCAAGCCACCTTGGTGACCGATCAAGACAATGCCGAAAGTCTTCGGATGGAATTGGAACAAATCAAGGCGTCACCCATTGCCGAAGTGGTCGGAATGACTTCCAACGAGACAGACACGACGATCATGACGGCTTCCGGGAAACGCAGTTTCATGATCGGAGTGGCCATCTTTGTTGCCATGGTCGTGGGCACGCTCATTGTCGTCATACTGTGGCCCATTGTATTCATGTAATACATTTACATGATAGCATGATTGCTATCTATCTAGCTGGAGCAATAACTGTATCTATATAGCACGAATTGAATTCACGTTCGATGGTGTGGTACTGTATCCCAACGATTTCCCGGGGACACGACGGCGACGAGAAAGACAACATGTTCCGTTGCTGCTTCGCTCTCAATCTATAAGCGTTGAGGGTTGCTCCTGGTCTAGCTAGTACATGTAGTACCGGTAGCAGTGTTTGGCCTCTGCGGTCTTCCTCATCGTCGTGCCGTAATCCTCCTCATGATCGATCACCTCACTGATACGGAAAGAACGAATCGAATCACCGTTTCCATTCCTTCTAATAATCATCGAGGGCTGCCCCTGATCTACATGTAGTACACGGAGGAGTACTTCGAGGGGGGTTGGTGTTGACGACTGCACTGACTGGATTGTCCTTCTTCGTCATCCACGTGATCATCCTCCTCCTCCTCCTCATACAACTCTGGCTCTTCTGGCTGCGTCTTTTGCTGTTCCACCGCACAAACAGGATGACTGCTGTCATTGGTGATCTCTTCTTCTAGCATGACGGGCGCTGTGGATGGCTGTCGCAAGATGCACTGTCATGTACACCCCCCCCCCCCCCCGTGTGGGATGCCCGTTGGAGGCTGGTCTTTCCCGTAGTCGATTGTCGTTGTGTGGACCGTTGTGTGGACCGTCGTGCGGAGGATGTGAACCGGTTTTTCCATGAAACGTTTCAAGATCAAAATTCTCATGGGAGTAATCTTATTGCTGGCCCTCACTATGATACTGCTGGCGGTGTTCATCCCCAAGAGTGATACTGATTTGCAAGAAATCGAATCAGATGATGACACAGACAACGCAACTTCTACTGATTGGATCCCTTCCCCTGCTCCAACTGTGGAACATCCTTTATTGGCTCTGTTTCCAGAGACAACGGTTGCATCCATCCAGCAAGATCCAGAGTCTCCCCAGGCAAAAAGATTCCAATGGCTCCTACTAGACGACATGCTTGCATGGCAGCAATAATGCATAATTGGACAACTATCTGGTGTAGAGTGGATCAAGATGTGCTGGCTAGCTATAGGCGTTGTGGTTTTCGGCTCGCCTTCACATTTCGCAGGGCAATTTCGGGCGCCGCTTCGCGTCCATCATAAATTTTCCTGGCTATTGACCAGCTGTCCGAACTTCGGGAGTCTGCTGATAGCCATGCAGCGATTAGACAGGAAAATGATCTTTTTGTTTGGATGATTAGACTAACAAAATTTCAATCGTTTGAACCTCTGTCCGCACCCAAACGACGACGACGACGAACGCCAAGTCCCCGTACCATGGTACTCACGAACAAACAAAACCTAGCCGCCTTTCTCGAGCAACAAGCCAGAAACCGGCACATGGCTGGCCAGGCGAAAGACTACGAATAAGGGCGTTTGCTGGCGCTTCCATTTCGTCTCTATTTAAATTGGAATGGTGACCATACGTCCCATCGAATGTGCTCGGCAGGGCCGAGGTCTTCATTGCCACGCACTCCCTGTAGCTCTTCGTTCCTGTCCGGCTCAGCAGTCTCTGCGTTCCCATGGAACCGACATTCAACTGCCAGCTTTGGAGTAGGTCGTGGTCGATGGCACACTAGAGCTATCTTGTTGTCATCCTTCGCTTCGTTCATTTCGATTGAGCTTTACCTGCATTGACGAGTGGGACGCTTCCATGCAAATCACAAAAGTCGCGAAGATAGCCTTGTTTGCGCGGCTAAGTTTGGCAGCAGAACAGTTGCTGGGTATAACGACCCAGAACAAAGCTTCCTACTAAGATGATGGCAAAGTAGCATAGATCTTCAGTCAGTTATGTATTTGAGAAGCATGCAAAGTCCAGAGTATTCACTAGCTAGCTAGCCTCACAAGCGCAGCCACATCCGCAAAGTAGACCACTACAATCAAAAGACAGTCCAAACGGGCCTTCACATGAGTCGATGGCACTTCCAATGCAAGTGCCATTGATGTCACAAACTCCAGCTGGAATAGACCCAGACAGCATTGGATTGCCTTCCAGCCTTAGAGTGTGTAGTGTTGGTTGAAGGTTGGAAAGGTCCTGGGGTACAGTTCCAGAAAGAGCATTGCTCGCAAGCGTCAAGTGGCCCATAGATGTAAGCAGACCAAGCTGACTAGGAATCCAACCGGAGAGTTGGTTGCCTTGAAGCTCAAGCTCCTCCAGCCCTGAGAAAAGACCTAGCTCTGAAGGGATGGATCCAGAGAGCTGATTGTTCCTCAGGTTGAGAGTAAAGGCCAGTTTTGTTAAAAGCCCTAGCTCACTTGGCACAGGGCCTGTGAGCTGGTTGTCCCTTATTGTAAGCAGGAGAAGAGGAGCAACTGTGCCCAACTCCGAGGGGATTGTGCCTTGAAATGAATTCCCAAACAGAGCTAAGTAGCTCAGTTTGGAAAGATGCATCAATTCACCAGGAAGAGTTCCGGTCATTCTGTTCCCATACAAGATCATCCATTGAAGATCGGTTACAAGGCCAATCTCTGTTGGGATTGAACCTTTAGAAGAGGAGTGGGGAAAAAATTCATGGTTGGCCACAAGCATGGTATTACATGGAAGTAAAAGAATGTCACCTTTGCTTGGGCTGCTTACCTGCCAGGTCACAATCATTAAAGTCGAGCCATGTCAACTTGGAAAGCATTCCAACATCGGATGGAATAAGGCCTTGCAACTGAGGGTTGCGCGGCATTCCAAACGTTTCCAAGTTTGTAAGCTGCCAAATTTCACTGGGAATGGATCCCTTGAGAGATCCCTGGTCACTATTGCCCCGTACTCCAAGGTACTTTAACTTTGTCAAAAGTCCGAGTTCGGAAGGAACCGTTCCGATGCCTAGAAGGGAACCCATACCAAGTCCCTCCAAAGCAGTCATTTGTGCAATTAGACTCGGGATTGTTCCATGTATTTGATTGTATCCAGCAGAGAGAGTCTTGAGAGATGTAAGGAGAAAAAGCTCCTCTGGCAGAGTTCCGCCTAGATTGTTCTGATCCAGCCAAAGATGTTGGTAGATGCCATTGGCATCACATGTAGTTGGAAGTGGTTCTGTGGCTGAAAAGAAACCTTGCAGAAACCCAGGATACCATTGATTCATGACATCCATCCTAGCCAAGGAGGGCTTGGTGTACCAAACACATTCATGAATGCTGTGATTGAGCCAACCGGCATTACTAGTCCAACTGTCTCCATTTGTAGAATAAAAGAGTGTGGCCAAAATGAATCTTTGAAGCATACGCTCCCTGGGCAGAGTGGGTTTCTCCATCAACCAGTCGAATGCCTGTGACTGGGGTGAGTCTGCTTCATCCATTATTGCCGCCACCGTGTCAGGAGGGAGCATAGAAAGCAAATAAGCAGAGAGAGCAGTTGGTGCTGGGGTTGGGAAATTCGTGCTGGTCTCAATTTTTTGGGCATCCGCATCCGAATCAGAGGATCGCTCATTATTGCCAGGGACAAGAATAGCAATCAAGACCAAAACAAGGGCAAGTAGAAAAATGACTCCTAAAAGGATCATGGTTTTGAGCTGTTTTCTTGCCTGTGGTTCTTGTTTTCTTCTGGAAGCTGGAGTAGCGGTTTGCAAGTCATGTTCGCCCACCACCAAGTTGGCAACTGCCAAGCCCGAGGAATCTTCCCACGGTGTCTCGGGACTGCTATTATTATTGCCACCGTCAAAGTTACCAATATTCTGTGAGGATCCACTGGGATGCTCTGGAAAGGCACCCGGTCCAGTGGGTTGTGGTCTTATTGGGGGCTGCTGTCTTATTGGGGGCTGCTGATCTGTAGACAGGGACTCTCGGTTGGACACGATTCCTTCATAATCTTCTATTAGGTCCTTTACAGTCATGACTGTAGCAATGTCAGGAGCAGGTCTACTAGCCACAGCCGACGGCAGTGGTTCTGGCTTGGACAGGAGAGATTCAATATCTTGCATGAGGTCACTATTATTCATCGGGCAGATGCTGCTAGCAGTGGGCACATGTGAAGGAGCAACAGCAACAGCGCCAGGCTTCGTTTCGCCAGGCTTGGCATTGTGATTGGATTTAAGATTGCTTTTCTTGCTTATAACAGCACGGCCATTGAATTTTGCTAGCTCTTCTAGAGCAGCCGAGTGAGGAATCGTTACGGCAGGAGGAGATGCCGCTGCTGGTGCTGCTGCTGGTGATGGTGTGGGCGAACCAGTGGTATGGCGGTTTTCGTCCTCCTGCTGCCTTGGCACCACGGGGGTTCCAACTGCCACGGGTGGAGGAGGTTTTGCCAGAGGGGTGGCGGCTGCTGTGGTGGCTTCCATGTTGGCAGTATTATAATAACTCACAAGCTTACTGATCCTTTCATTGCTTGGACTCTTGCTTGTAGGTACTCAAGTATTCAACTGTCAACGAACGAGGCCTCCGGTTTCTATGCCAAACAAATACTAGTACGCGACATGTGCACTGGCACCCTACTCGTGATTGCCAGTTCGCATGGTTGAACTTCTTCCGATTCATTCCCCTAATGCTTCAAGTGTTGTACGGTGATGAACGAGTAGACTGATCAGTCACTGATTGGATTGCACAATAGCTCACAATAGACTTAGAGGGAACTCTGAGTCACACTTCAAGGTGTGACGGAACACTGGGGCACTTATGAACAGTACAAGTGCATACAGCGTACCGATAAGTTAACAATGCAGCAAAACTGATAAAACTTTGATGGCGATGGCAACCGAGCCAACAATGATGGTGTCTGTCTATTGCTAGCTACTACCGCAGGCTGCTGCCCATGTCCCTCCCACCTTCGCTATAGTTGCTACGGCAGCTTCTAGTTTTTGAAATGGTGCCGTAGCACTGGAGAGATCCTTGCGTCGGGGGCAAAAGAGTGCTTGATCTGTGGAACGGAGACAAAGACCGCGATCTGATGCCTGGCTAGATAGAGTACTAGTAGCTACTACTAGCTAGCTAGCAGGTATCGTAGCTCCCAAGCAGCCAACTGTTCATTACCTAGTAGCTAGTAGTAGTAGCTAGCTAGTAGCAACACGTTGTAGCCAACCAGCCAAATGATCGTTGAGGGCTCATGCCTTCGGCAGCCTGAATTCTTCTAACGACGGAATGGTCAGTGGTACCGTACTGATGTACATGTACGCATTTTACGCATGAGGTCATCAGCCCTCTCGTGGACGAAGCGAAGCGCAGAGTTCTTTCAGCGCTCGATCACCTTCTTGAATTTTTAAAAAGTATTAAAATAAGACAAAATTACAAAAGCACTTCCTCTGATGGCGTCCGGCACTGTCTATGTCGGGTATTAATATTGCTACAAGTACAATGAAGGGCGAGAAAGATGTTCTGGATGTTCTGGATGTTGTAGCTGCTCGACTGAACCATCACAGCAATCATAGCAGCATTGCTACTATCGGTATGAGACTGATAAACGGTATGAGTGCTGATCTGGAAGGTAAAGACATGGAAGTGGAAGCACAGAGAAGCAAACCACTCATTGGTGACATCACTACCAGTGACAACGATCACAGCAATAGTGTTTCTACTAACGGTAGGATCACAAGTGCTGATCTGGATGGTAAAGCACAGACCACAAAACCACTCATTGGTGACATCACTGCCGGAGACAACATCAACCCACGTGATCAGTGTGTCCTGGGGGATACCGGTACAGAAGCAATGGTAAGGCCAGTAAATTCGCAGCTAGAGAGAGCAGTTGTAGTTCAGCTAGAGAGTCTCCCTGGTGCCTATGCTGTTGCTCCCACTCCTACTGGTATCCCAGCAGAGGTGGATACCAATCGTGATGTTTTAATACAGCAAACATCAGGCAGCAGTCATACTGTAGCCCTGGACGAGGACCCCACTGCTGTTGATGTTCCTAATCATAATCATGACCATGACCTAGCAGTTGCAAATATGGTTCCAGAGGACACTCTGCAGTCCACAGTGGACCTGCCTCAAGCACAAGGTTTTGATGCTGTCGAATCGGACAGGAGGAGAGCCAGGAGGGCCAAGCAGTTCCAAACCAAGGTATTTTCTGTAAGCTGTTTTGTTTTGATTGTGATTGTTGTCATTCTGGTAGCAGTGGTTTTGACCCGAAGCAAAGAAGTAGAATTACCCTCAGATGACTTGGACTTGGAAGAAAATGATCTGGAACCTGCCACCGAGATACCTTCTCCTGCCCCCACTACACTGCGTAGCAATATCCTCGCCTTGCTCCCACAAGACACCATCACGATCCTCAAGGAAGATCCAAAGTCTCCCCAGTCAAAGGCATTGGAATGGCTGTTGGAAGATGTACAGTATCTTGCTCACTATGAGGATCAAAGAATTGTACAAAAGTTTGCCTTGGTCACTCTCTTTTATGCTACAGACGGCCATAGATGGACTACCAACACCAGCTGGCTCAGTCACCATGTCCATGAATGCAACTGGTTCAAACATCAATCGTTCTCTCTCCGAGATTTTCGATCCAAATTCTTCCCTGGATACTTCAAAGAATTCAAGAATATTTCCGGTGCTCCATCCTGTCACAACGACACTGGTTTGTACCAGCATTTGTGGCTAGATCAAAACAATTTAGTGGGATCTATCCCTGAAGAGCTCTTTCTCTTGACTTCCCTCAAAACTCTCTCCATTGGGAGAAATAGGATTGAAGGAACCATCTCTACAAGAGTGGGACAACTAGTTGTCCCACCTTCAAGGATTGGTCATTAACGGACACACCAAAGCCGGGACCATACCCACAGAGATTAGCTTGTTGACACAACTTCGAGGCCTGGGATTGAATACTAACGAGCTTGAGGGAACTGTTCCAGCGGAACTGTGGCAGCTCACTGATTTACAGACCATCTTTTTGGGTGAAAACCAAAACCTAAAAGGCACCATGCCATCAGAAATTGCTGTGATGTCCAACCTCATGTGGCTCAGTATGGAAGGCTGTCAATACTCCGGTAGGTGCTGTTTTGTGCTGCCGGTGGAACCATTGTTCTTTGCTTTGTTGATTCTCACACGACTTCCGGTTTTCTAATAGGCACAATACCCTCAGAGATTGGGCAACTGCGACAGCTGGAATGGTTGAGTTTAACCAACAACAAGTTTTCCGGATGGCTTCCTAGTGAACTGGGAACACTATCAAATCTACTGATTTTTTCCTTGTCAAGAAGCTTGTATTCTGGAACCATCCCCACAGAGCTGGGTTTGCTGACATCCATGAAAGTTCTCAATGTGAATGGCAATCAACTCACTGGATTCATCCCCAGTGAGTTTGGGCTCCTACAAGCCAACACTAAACAGCTGGATCTGGTTATGAGCAGCAACCTTCTCTACGGATCCATCCCTTCAGAACTAGGGCTGATCACCATTCTCAAAGATCTGCAGCTATTTGGCAATCAACTCACTGGCAACATCCCCAGTGAATTGGCCCTTTTGACTGCGATTGACAAACTAAGACTCCACAACAACTCCCTGTCAGGAACAATTCCTCATGAGCTCTCACTATTGGATGATACTCTCTTCATTCTCCGACTAGAAGGCAATCCAGAGCTCTCTGGGATTGTACCTGAGGCTCTTTGCCATTTGAATGGTACTTGTATTCGCAATAGCTTGCATCCCTGCAATGCAGACACCAAGGAAGCAATCTTTGATTGTACCTCCTTGCTTTGTGGCTGTAATTGCTCCTGTGAGGGTGGGAGCAACCACTAGGCAAAGATGATTGAATGATCCAGTGCCCTGTACCAGAAGCTGGATACTACGGGAGGAGCAAGCCTTCTTTCGGACCTTCCAAACTTGAGTCTGACGATTATATATCTAGATCTATCTTCTGCGACACTATCTCCCAATTCGGCAGTTGCCGTTCGAAGTTACGTTGAGGATAATCGTGGCTTTTGGCATCCGAACTGCATGCTTGGCCGGACGGACTTATACAAATTTGAGGCACCACTTGCACAGAGGTATGAGACAAAAATCTAGCTAGCTAGCTAAGCTCCACTGCACAGCAAAACTATTGCGAAGATACAGTAACGTACCCGGCTGTGAGAAGAGTCCAGTTTTTCTTGTACCAAAGAAGAAGAAGAATGCGGTAATAGGAGTGAGTATAGTGCCAATCCAATCCACGAGTCCAGAACAAGACCACCAAAACGAAGCAACTTCGAGCCTGAAACCTGAAAGATGGATTGTTCACATCCAAAAGTCTCCCGAAAAGCAAGGCAAACCCTTCGACTGCTGCCGCCGCGGCAATGTTGAAGCAAAGTCGATGCATATCAGGTCGTGATGCTCACCGTTCCGGTATGGTGCATTGTGCCCAACACAATAAGGTCATCCGGAATCTTCGACTTCGGCGTCTGCAATCATGTTCACCACAAACATCATGGATTTGTCGTCCCATTTCAACCACGCCAGGATTCCCAGATTTTAAAAAAACTGAACGTCTAATAACGGATTCAGACGAGATGTGCTTGAGGACGACCCACGAGCCGAGGCCCGGGTATTTCCCACAGTCAAGTCTGCTCACTGGCCACACTGGCCTCCTGAGAGGGTGCGACGCCTGTTAGCTATCTAAGGATTTGTACACGCCAGGATTCCCAGATAGGACATGCCAGAGACAGCTATTGCATCCAAAGCGACAGACTCGATTCGTGCGATCTCTAGCTATTTACGAGATGACGTTGTCGTGGGACGGGCGACGATCAAAGGCGACAAGCAGTCCATTGAGGAATCTCAGCCCATTGATCGAGGCTCATCCTCAACAAAGTTCACTGTTCCGTAAGGTGGTTAGTTGACGGAGGACGGGCTACCGCAGCCAGTTTCGATGGCACCACCACCACCACTACCACCACCACCACCTGCATAAAAAAGTCCTTTGATTCAGACGAGGTGGATGTGCTTGAGGACGTCCCATATTTGAGGCTGGATCAGTTGCTTCCCACAGTCAAGTCTGCTCCGATCACCGGCCACACTGGCGTCAGTGGGGTTGGGGCTCCTGCAAGGCAACACATCAAGTGCGTTGAATCTGTACGTTGCTGACAACTTGCTTTGAATGATGAATCCCACCGTGAGGCGGCCATCCAGGATCATTGGTCGTCCAAGTACGATAATTCTGGCTAGCCTTATCGTAGTGGTCTCTTGCTGCTTGGGTGGCTCTGAATCCCTGTAACGCAGCACAAGCTAGCTATAGCATACCTTTTACCTCTCAGCTCGAATTTTGATGGCACGTACCAAAGCAACGTACCAACTACAAACTTTCCAAGTTTACCGACGACGCTATACGTGCAATTGAAAGCAACGTAACAACGGACCTTTGGCAGTCCGATCCGATCCGCCGAGAAAAACAGCCTTTGGTCTGCCCATACCTATACGATAGCCGGCACTACAGACAACAAAAACAAGAACCCTACCCTTGGTGCGTCCATCGGTACCGGTACCATACCTCACCGACAACAACAGACTTTCCCGCAAGAAAGAGCACTGAGCCTACAAACCGACGAGCAACAGCTCGGGCAACAACATCAACAAACAAGTCCACATAGAATGAGCAAGGTGAGGACTGCATGCTTGTGGGGATCTGCTTGCTTGCGGAAAGCCTTCCCGACGGCAACGAAGTGACGGAAAGCATCCGATCTCTAGTCAAACAGGACCCGGTTTTCAGGACCTCTGTGGAAACTCGAGTCATGCTACTTTTCGTCTCCTAAATCCTTTTGATCTTCTCCTATTTAATGGATTTCGTCTCCTAAAAATAGGAGACGAAACGGATCGTCTCCTAAATCTTTTGTCTCCTCTTAAAACGTCTCCTATTTTCAACGGATCGTCTCCAATTCTCAACGAATCGTCTCCTAAGTGTACCATGTAAACTGTATGGTATCGTCTACTAAATCTATCGGATCGTCTCCTATTTCGAAACGATTGTCTCCTAATTGGAATGTCTCCTACTGAATCGTCTCCTAAATATAGGAGACAAAAGCAATCGTCTCTTAAATCATTTCGATCGTCTCCTATTCCTCGGTGTATCGTCTCCTAAGTATTTTGCCACGAATGACGTTTCCACAGAGGTCCTGTGGGCAGAGAATCGAATCACTACAGTACGTGAATGTCACTCGACACGACTGTCACTCCACAATGGGTATCAGGATAAGGCTGCCAGTTCATCAGAAGACAGCAGCAGCCGTGGGAGAAAAGTTCTCTGATTGTTCTCTCCCTTCCTGGTTGAAGTTCAAAGATTCGATTGAATCAGGATCGAGAGCGTTGTCGCCACTATCTAGCATCTAGCTAGCTAGATTATCTTTATAGATAATCACGTTCAACACTATAATAATAATCAAGCAGCACTGGCGACTGATTGAACATTCGGTACCGCTTCCAGCAAGGTTCCGCGAGCGCCTCTCAATCTACTACTAGTATTTTAAACCTCGGCAGTCTTGCTGCCAGAGCCCTCAACCCCTTTAATTGTTTTTTCTGCTACAGTGGTCCCTGCAGGTATAAGGGTAGGGTTAGAATTACGTCTCCTCGAGACGACGCTCCTTTTGGTTACCCTCTCATTGCACACTGAAATCGATTTGCCGGCGTTTACTGTATAAATTAGCGTAGCCGCACTTCAGGTGCAGAATCAACGGTCATGTGTATCCCTAAGTACCAAACCTGATCGATTCGTGGATAAAAGAACCGTTGAAGTTGCTAAGATTATGGATAAACTGATCGCACCGAAAGTCCATTATTGAAGGCGCAGCACTGACTTCTCTCCCTCATTTAATTCGTATGGTAAACAGGAGGTAAATCCAAGCTTGGCTGACAACAATGGTGAGTGCTTTATCCAATCGGCCGATCGATCGAATCGATTCGAGGTAAGCCTATTATCAAGAGTGTTAATTGAAGGTGCAGCACTGACTTCTCTCCCTCATTGGATTTCTATGGTATTCAGGAGATAAATCCAAGCTTGACCGTCAACAGGTGAGTTGTTTTAATTATTCGAATTGATTGATCGATCGATCGCACCTCTGATTCTCTGTTATCCAAGCCTCGCTCAAGCCGGTCGTCTCCGGTGTAGAAGCAAAAGCCATCCCTCATTGAATCCTATGGACCATGGGATGTCAGTCAGTTCTCAGCCCATGACGGCCAAGTTGGTTCAATTTGAAAAGCAAGGGTAAGTCTCCGGTCGTCTGCAGTTGAGCACAGAAAACAAACCTCATATCTATTTGTTGTTTTCTCTGCTGTACTGCTGACGGTTGAGGAAATACCGTTGTCGAGGTCGAACGAACGAACGACAAGAGGAGAAGCTACGGAAGAGGCTTTGTTAACTCAAGCCCTATTAGCAGCCTGAACGGAGGAGATCGTCATCGAGTCATTGAAAAGGGAACATGAGCGAGCCAGCAATACACAAGCGAGTGGATCCTACTATTGGATTCATCCCTCCAGTGTTATTTCCTAGTGTTTTAGTGGTGATTCATATGTCGGTACCCACTTTCCTGTATGCACAAGTCCTTGGGCAAACGACTTGCTTCTTTCGTACGATAAAGATAGATAGATAACTCGTAAGATAATAGATCATCGATTACCGACCAATAGACCACATAGATACCTTATAGATCAATAGGATTGACAATATTCGGTTGTGCATGTATTTGTCGTAAGGATCCAATAGGAGGTACTTGTGTTCGGTACTGTTGCCACTGTCGCCCATGTGACTATACGGCAGCCAGCTAGAATGGCTGGATTGACAATATTCGGTTGTGCATCCAATGCGAGGTAACTGAGCTGGAACTAAGGAATCAAGAGACGAACGCTGAAAAAACCGAATACAAATAAGTCAGCAAAAACTAAATAAGTATCCTAGTGCTAGGATGGTGCTTTTAAACCAGCTAAAGCTATTTACATGCATCCTAGTAGGGGGGTCTGCTTCTACCAGGAAAAACTCTAAAGCTAGCAAAAGCTATCTAACTAGTATTCTAGCTAGCTTGGGGTATCTGCTTCTAGCTTGCTATGGGAATCTGCTTCTAGCTAGGGGATCTGCTTCTAGCTATTTAAGCTCAAGTTAAGCACTAGCTAAGCACTACATGTATCTGCAGCTAGCTAGCTAGCTAATAGGGGTATCTGACCTGCTTCTACAGTCGTACACTGAAACCTTTCTGCCGAGGTTACACAGCTCTGCTGGCTTAATAATAGACAGCAACCACTACTAGTAGATCTATTGCACGAACAGAAAACTGAAGACCAACCGTCAGTCAGTCTTTACAGCATCGCATCATGAAAACCTCTCTACTAGTATCATCGTTCGGTCATTCAAAGCGCCACGAGCTTTGTCGTCGTCGCACCGCCACGAGCGTTTCTCGCACAGGCGCCAACGTTAAAGGCCAAACAGTTGGATGCAGCGGATGAAGCGCTCGATCAAGTCAAAGCAGCATTGGGGCAGGCCGGCAAGGATCTGGCAGCGGCAGCCGCAGTGAGGATCAATGAACTAACGGAGAAGGAGAGTACCTATGAAGTGGGAGACTTGACCAAGTGGCTGGATACCAAGGCACGTGCGGCCGTGTCGGATCTTACCGAATCCGAAGAAGCCGACTGGTCCGATGTGATGAAACTGTGGATGCCAAAGTCAAGGATGCCATTTCGGTCGCCATGGAATCTAAGGAAGAGTGGAAGCAACTGAAAGAACTCAGCAAGATTGCCAGCAAAGGTGTCCAAGACAAGCTGGCAGAGCTCATGGGCGACGATGCGGACATGACGCAAAGTTCAGGAGGTTGCGACGAAAGAGATTGTGGAACTCCTCAAGAATCGTAGCTATGGCATTGGTGACCTGTTCTTTCTGCTCAAGCTCTGTACGTCCTTTGGCCTGGGCATGAATCCTGCCGTCATGACCATTTTCCCGCTCAACGCACTCGTGCAGTTGTACAACTTGTCACTCATTCAAGAAGCTGGAAAAGGAGTGGCGACATCCGTTGCCTTGGAACTGGACCGACGGGCACGAAATGTCATGGCGCTGGAACTCGACAAGCAAGCCAAAACGGCTCTCTTTGGTGCTGCCAACGCCGATTCTATGGAAGTGGGCGCTCTCTTCAAACAGGCCCTTCTCGATGGCATTAACAAGAAAGCATACGACTTTGGAGATATTACCAAGAACCTTCTGGCGTCCTTTGAGAGTTGTGAAACTCCAAAAACCAATTGGAGTGGTAGACCTCAAGAGCGAAGCCATGGACTTGGATCCCAAGTTGGAAAAGGAACTCGAGGCTCTGGACCAGGCGCTCAACGAAAATATCGACGAGGACGAGTAATCATTCTCTGAGTAAAAGTTATCGATAGTACTGTAGTCGCTCCAGTAGATCGCTCAAGATAATAGTATGATCAAACACTCCAACAGAAGAACGCTGCCGCACACCAAACAAGAGGAGCACGTCATTATATATTTGTAGTGGAAACCTTCTTCAATAGGTTACGATTAGCCGCTTTAAAGAGGTGGTAACATAATCTCGAACCCCGGTTGACGAAGAGTAAACGTTCACGAGCAACAAAAAACTCAAAGACTGGAATCCTCGATCGACGGGAACAACGTGTGTTCGGACTTCGAATGTTCTAGCGGGACTGAGTGCGGTACCATTGGAGGTTAGTCATTCGGAATGCCTTTGATACCGTAGCCTTACTACATGTACCGAACCCTAATACCGCCCTCCTTCGGAAGGAGTGCAAGTGTGCGTTTAGGGGAATGTACCGCGGATCGGAGTTCACCTCTGGGGAATTAATTTGCAAAACCGGCGAATGTACCGCGGATCGGAGTTCACCTCTGGGAAGACAACTTTGGAAAGCACGTAGTTGCGGTAAATACAATTTCTATACAAACATGAAGAGTGAACATAAAGTTTTAACCCTAAACTTACCTCATCTACTCTTCTAAACTGTCTTCCTGGGGAATGTGCAGTGCCGGTACCGGTGAACTCCGCTCATCTTCACAGAACAACTGCACGCTACATGTACTGCATGCATGGTTCCATCATAAAAGGAGGAGAGAAGAGCAAGTGTCGGGAACGGAAGAGCTGTCCACATCTGCATCCGCATCCAAGAAGCAAGACATCCCTTTGTATTAGCACTCCACGAGTGTAGTACTCCAATCACCCTCAACAAAAAATGGACGGACCATCCCAAGAATCTGACACAGATACTGGTAGCACTGGTGAAGCTGCTGAGGCCGATCATCCGTTGCCCACATCTACTACGAATGCCAGTCCTACTACTAGTACAGCTCATAATGTCGCCACTGGAAGTGCCATGTTGGCAGAAGAAAAACGACACATTGCATATCCCAAAAAACGCACATCAGGTGCCCAGCCAGCAGTGCCGCAAGCTGCCAACACCACTGCCAATGCAAGTGCCCTCTTGGCACAAGAAAAGCGACGCATTGCTTATCCAAAAAGTAGGTCGGGAACTGCAGTGCATGTACCTACAGAAGTTCCTACCGAAGTTCATCAAGAGAACCAGATGATGGCCAATACCACCAAAGCTGCTGAGGCCAGCGCCCTCTTGGCAGAAGAAAAGCGACACATTGCTTATCCAAGAAGTGATACATCTAATCGTAAGAACAGACCCAGCATCAATCAAGGAGATTGGTCTGGCCCTACGACTGCCGTCAATTATTCTCCTCTCCTACAAGCTGAAAAAGGAGCTATCATATATCCAAGAGGAGAAACAAACAGAACTGTTAACACAGTGCTGCTGACCAGCAGTACAATCACAACTGTGCCTCCACTGAAAGATAGCGTAGTTGCCTCCCAGCGAAGCCACGAAGCTTCTCCATCAGCCATTGAGCAGCAGGACCACCAGAAGGAACAAGAAACAGTGAGCGATATGTTGAGCAATAGTGCGCATAGTGAGGCCAACCGAAATGATGTCGTCGACGCTAACACTAACACCATCGCGGCTCCCGAGCATACCGGTACAGTACAACATGATGACAATTTTGGAATTATGCCTTTGCCTAGATTGGAACGGACTACTGCCAACAGAAGGGCCCAAGTACAACCGGGAGCCTACGCAGATGGAGGAAATTTTCAAGCAACAGAGGAGAATTTGGAAACAGCAGAGACATACATTGAACCAGATACTACGCAGCCACCGACAATCGAACCAGAATATGATAATAGCGGCTTGGCTGTGGCCAATTTGGTAGCAGAAGATGAAACAACCGATCATCAGGATCTCCCCCAGGCTCAAGATTATAATCCAGACAACATCAACCACACCAGAGAAGAAAAAATGAAGCAATTCAAAACCAAGGTCTTCTTGGGAGTCATTTTCTTGTTGGCCATTATTCTCATTTTGGTAGCCATTGTGACACCTTCAAAGAAACAGGATAATCTTGTCCCAACAATCTCACCTAGTGAGTCGCCCAGCAGCAACCCATCTCAAGGGCCATCGTCATATTCAGAATACTGGCTATCTCTTTTCCCTGAATCAACAGTCTCTGCAATTCAGGAGGTCCCAGGATCACCTCAGTCAAGTGCATTCAGATGGCTCTTGGATGAGATTGACATTCTACAACACCTTGCGGTACACAGAGTTGTACAACGTTTTGTCCTAGCAACAGTCTATTTTGCCAACAGTGGCGATCAATGGTCCTTTAGTGACAGTTGGCTAAACCACAGTGTTCATGAGTGCCTTTGGTACTCAAGTTTGGAAGACTATTATTCCATATTTGCGGAAGGCCTTTTCCTACTGGATCACATCAGTCCCTGTGAGCAAGATCCAGCTGGATATCTAGAGGAGGGCATCTTATACCAGGGAGATGGAATCCTGAAGCATTTTTGGACGTCCTTTAATGGCCTGATGGGGTCAGGTATTCCACCAGAGCTTTACTTGCTGACTGAACTGAAGAGCTTGGCATTGGATGGGTTGAACCTTACCAGCACAATCCCAGAAGAGCTCTCTGGTCTATCAAACTTGGAGTATCTTTCAATGATGTATTGTGGCCTTGATGGCTCAATTCCTGAGATATTTGGGAGATTGTCAAAGCTTGAAGTCACCTACTTTGGGTTTAATTCCTTAACTGGAACTGTAAGTAGCAAGCTATGAAATGCCTGAAAAGATAGAGCTGCAACTATGTTTTGGAATGCCCTGCCTGCTGATTCCTCACTTTGACTTTATGTGTTTTCCAGATTCCTCAATCCCTGTATTCCCTTTCCAACTCAATGAGAGCCATTCTTCTTACTGAAAACCTGCTTACAGGACAGGTGCGTAAACAAGGTTATTAAAGTGTGCTGTATTGGAGGCACTGACTATTTATGTCCGGTATTGTGTCTGATGTTATAGGTGCCAACAGAACTGGGATTGCTAACTAATTTGGAGGGTTTATCACTTGCAACCAACCTTTTCACCGGGACAATTCCAACAGAACTTGGGAAATTAACTGGGTTAGAGTTCTTGTTCCTGAATAACCTGATTCTGAGTGGCGCTGTAAGTTTTTACAGTTGCATTGGTTGATTATCCTTGTTTGGGATATGTAGGCCTCACCCGCACATTCTCGTAGATCCCAAATGAGCTTGCAGGTCTTAATGACATGGTACTTCTGCAACTGGAAGTCTCGGGTCTTTCGGGGACAATCCCCAGGTGGCTTGGCAACATGACATCCATGGAGTCAGTGACACTGGCATATAACTCCTTTACTGGGACTGTAAGCCAATTTTTGTGCCGATCCTGTGAGACTTCTTCTTCTAATATGAATTCTATGGTTTCTTCCTTTTCTTTAGATCCCAACAGAACTTGGCCTTATACCCAAGCTGTTTATCCTATGGCTTGGTGGGAATGCTTTGTCGGGCACAATCCCAAGTGAAATTGGATCGTGTGAGCAAATGCTTGTGTTTCTCTTGCATACGAACAACCTGACAGGAACCATTCCTACAGAGCTGGGACAGTTTACTGAGGGTTTCTTCCAGTTTTGGCTACATGACAATGATTTGACTGGAACGGTGCCCCCGGAGCTTGGCAATGTTTCGTTCCCTCCACCATATGGTCAGGTCTATTTGCATGGAAATGATCTTTCTGGCATTATCCCTGAGAGCTTGTGTTCTGCCAACGACCTTACTTTTGACTGCAGCAGCCAGCTCTGTGGATGTGACTTGTGCAACTGCTCTGGCAATAGAACATCACTGATACTGGAGAGTGAGACTGCCAATGAAGATGGTCAGGTACTGAGTAAGGCAAACCAAACTGAGGGGAACCAAACTGAACCCTGAACCGAATGACTAGAAGATTGTCTGTTGATCATTATACTACTACATGTTTGCATATAAGCTGTTACAAGAAACATTGTGTGTACGGGCATTTGTGATTATTGTGATTATGGCGATTCTCCTCTCTCGTTGGACCCTCATTCTTTCCTCAATCGTGGCCAAGCAATGTCATCATGGACAGGGAAGGCTTGGATCTCAGGAAGGGTCCACGAAGGATGCCCGACAGAAACCCAAGGATGCGATGGAACGAGTAGGATTGTGATGATCATCCTTGACCTCTGTCTCCATCCTCATCTTAGCTCTCTCTAATCCATAGTAAACCCGATTCAACAAAAGCCATGGGTGGAGTTCATGGTAACATTCAACTTTGCGCAATCGAGAGGCTCTGTCCCACCGCAGACGAACGCCCCAAAACGAAGACTGGTGCGGAGGTTCCGCTTTGTTGGACCATCGTCGTGACAGCTGGCTATCTAGCTACAGCAATGATCTATCCGTAAACACTCGAGGGTCAGGCGAAAGGTTTGCGTGCCGTTGCCGTTGTTGGTCACAGCGAAAGTGTCAAACTGCAGTGAAGAACATGCACCACACGACCGGTATCCGACGACAACGAAGTGCCAATGTCAGTCATTGACAACTGTGATATCGAGCAATTCAATCCATGGACGCCAACCAGCGTCTGGGCGACTCTATAGGACCTTCGCACATCAATGGCGACCGTCAATCCCAACATGAAGGGCCAGCGCAATTTCAACAGCGGCATATTCGGAATTGTCCCTGTTTTGATCAGACGCACAAAGTGTGCTGACTGAGTGACTGCATGACTAACTAACTGCTACAATAAAGCAAGTATAGCAAGGGTTCGGAAATGCACAAACTAACGCCAATCTATGCCCTCGGTACTCGATGCCGATAGCTCCGTAGCTCGTCATTCGTGGCTTGCCAAGGTCCCGTACCATACCGTAGATACTATCGGATGTATGCTACCTGCTACCGTACCTCTACCGACTGAGTGAGTGAGAGTCAATCGGTCGCACCTTTACTATCAAGCATGTCAATCGAAGCGTCTCCGGAAGGTTTTCTTTGCTTGTCTTTTTAACTCCAATTAATTGTTGAATCTTTACGTATCTGTTTTGTTAAATCCCTGATTCATTAGGTCTACAGCCGTTTGGTGCAAGATTGAAAACAAGGTTCTTTATTTTGTTTGCCTCTGGGTAGAATTTAGTTTTTGTTGTTGTTGCCACACACCATTTTGTGCTCATGCCTCCTGTTTGAGACAAGCAAAAGCTCTACCCTTGCAATAAAGCTGTCAACTAGTCAACTACACTGTAGTATCAGTAGCAACACCCCTTGCTGAAGAAGGCACTCAAAATGGTGCTGTCTTTGCTGGTCTAGGTTCTAGCTGGATTTGTAGCTGCTGTAGTTCATCTTGTGGTACCAAAAATTGCCTGCTCTAGCAAGCTATCTATCTCTTCTATACTACTGTTCGGACCAGCTCTGACAGAACAGCTTGAAGCCCAAGGGCAATGAGGCTGACTCTCTACTGCGGTAGAACAACAGATCGATTGGCCGACAAGATAGAAGAGCGGTAGCCCTAGCAATGATTACAGGGCCAATCGGAATCTATCGGCCGACACGAGGAATCTTCTGGGCCACAGAAGAGTGGTGTGGTGGTGTATGTACAAGTGCTGATGGCTGGCACGGAGCGCAAGAGAGTACCGGTAGAAGGCTTCAACAGCTCCAGCGAGTTTTGCCTTGGCGAGCCATTTACAAGTTGGCCTTCTCCTCTCACAGTGAGGCGTTTCCAGCCAAACCTTCTGTTGCAGGTGTTTGTAGTAGTAGTAGTAGGGAAGGCATTGGTGTGCTGGTTGCTAGGATAAAGAGGCTACAAGGGATAAACATAGGTGACTTGATTGGTTGCTGTTGAAATCAATAAAAATATTTTTTGGGCTGACTGCAAAAAAAAATAAGAACCTTCTTTGCAATCTTGCGTCAAATCTTCGAACTAAACCATTATTAATAGCCTTCAGTTTAGCCGCTGCTGGTAGAGGATGATTTAGCCAAATCGGTGGCTAAAGAGGCTAAAACAGGGTTGGTCGTTTAAATAAATTCATTCACGGTAGAGACTGCAGGGCTAAAAAAGGAGAACTAAATCTGAAGCTTTAGCCCCGTTTGGATAGACGGTGCCCTCAGTAACACATTCTACGGTACATTGCTAGCTAGCTATCCACGCAGCCAGCTTGTTGACGTGAAGGCCTTCTTCTTTCTCTCAAAAACAGAATGTATGACTGCACCGCGCATTAGCAATCCGAACTGGGTCTGTTTTAAAGCACAGCTATATATTCGGAGCGGTCTGTTTTAAAGCACAGCTAATGGGAGCAGTTTTTAAAGCATAGCGGTTGGTTTTAAAGCTTTAAAGCACGGCTATAATGGGAGCAGTTTCCGTCTTCATTTTTTTTGTTTCCATCTTCAAAAGCACATCTTTGGATCACAATACCCAAGTGCATGACAGGACCACTGCTACTTCTTCCAGTATACTGTAAGGAGAGTCCGGAACCAAAGAGCTACCCACAACCACAAAGCAAGAAATCCGTTTATAGCACTCCCCTCCAAGGATGGAATCCAATGCTGGTGAGGCTCCCAAAGGCTATGCTTCCGATAGCACTAGTGACGTTGCTGAGGTGGATTACAGGCTACCCACTTCTACAGAAGAGGAGACTGGAAAACCATGCAAGAACCTGGACTCTGACAACAACCAAGATCAAGAGGAAAGCAAGGATGGACAGCAGGAACAGAAGGAAGAAGAACAGCAGAAGAATGAAAAGGAGGAACAATCCCTTTTAGATGAAGCCAAGCGGTCTATTGCCTATCCAGCAGCAAAGAAGAAAAAAAGCCAACAGGATCCTCTGTTGCCCACAGCTACTATCACCCCTGGTACTTCTACTGCTCATAAAGTCACCACTGTAAGTCCCATGTTGGCAGCAGAAAAACTAAACATTGCTTATCCCAAAAACCGTGGAACAGCTGCTCCAACAACAGAAGTCCCAGCTGTAGACACCAATGCGCAGCAGCCGATCCACAAAGAGAATCAGATGATGGCCAATACTGCCAAAACTGATGAGCCCAGTGCCCTCTTGGTGCATGAAAAGCAACACATTGCCTATCCAAAAAGTGGGCCTTCTAGTAAGAACAGAGCCACCGGTATTCGAGGACTGGCTGAGGCCAATCATCTGTTGCCCACCAGTGCCACTGCCGCTCATAAAGTCACAACTCTGAGTCCCATGTTGGCAGACGAAAAGCAATACATTGTATATCCCAAAAGACATGGATCAGTTGGCCAGACACAAGTGCCACCAGCCGCCATCTTCAATGAGCAAACCATGGACGATACTGTCGAAACTGCTAAGCCCACCAGTGCTCTCTTGGCACACGAAAAACGACACATTGTCTATCCAAAAAGTGGGCCAGCTGGTAAAAGCAGAGCCACCGGTATTCAAGGAGATAGGTCTGGCACTGCGGAAAATGCATCGGTACAGGCAGATTCTACCAACAACAGCAGCCAAGGGCGAACCGGCAAATCTACCACCATCAGTTCTCCACTCCTACAAGCTGCTAAAAGCACTATCAAATATCCAATAGGAGAGACAAGCAGAACTGCTATCACGGATGTAGTTCAGGTTGACGCGGTACAACATGATGACAACCGAGGAATTATATCTTGGCCTCCACCCGAAGGTGGCTTTGCCTTTGAAAATTCAGAATATCCTTGTTCAGGGGTTGGACATGAAGAACCTTTGGTCCAGGAAAGGGAAATAGTGCTGCCCATTTCATTACAGATCAAAGCCACGGTGACAGCAATCATCAAATCATCACCATGCGTGCACAAGCTCGTGAAGGTAGCCTTACCTTTGAAAATCTAGAGCCTCCTGCTTCAGAAGCACAGCCAAGGCGTGAAGAACCATCAGTCCAGGAAAGCAGGGAAGATTCAGAGGAACTTGTCGAAACTGAGACTACTCAACCACCTATGTTCAATCATGTTGATTCCAATAGTGGCTTCGCTGTGGCCAATTTGGTAGCGGCAGATGAAACAACCGCTCAGGATCTGCCCCAGGCTGAAGACTAATATCCGGACAATATCAACAACAACAGAGAAGAAAGAATGAAGCAATTCAAAACCAAGGTGCTCTTTGGGAGCCATTGCCTTCTTGGTCATCATTATCATTTGGGTAGCCATCCTGATTCCTGGACGTCAAGATGACAATACAGATCTTTTCCCAACAACCACACCTAGTAAGTCACCTAGCAGCAACCCATCTCAGGGGACATCGTCCTATTTGGAATACTGGCTATCGTTTTTCCCTGAATCCACAGTCTCCACAATTTTGGAGGACCCAGGATCACCCCAGTCAAGAGCATTTGAATGGCTCATGGAAGAGATCGACATCCTACACAACCTTACAGAAGAGAGAGTTGTACAGCGCTTTTGCAATACACGGCTCTTAGCCTTATTCGCGACTCGATCCTAGATAGGGTTTGAGTTCGACTCATGACTGAGTCTCTCGTGAATAGTCATTGAGACAGGGTTCTCAATGACCGCTCTAGTCATACTAGGTTGATGATGAAACATTGCTCTAGATATTTAGCCAGCGTGGAGTACTTCCACGCTACTAGATAAATGCTAGACGAATCTTCCACGCGTTCCGTTTTTGGATCGTGGAGTGAGTAGGATTGCTACTGCAACCTACTCTATCACACTCTACAGTCTCCCGCGGGAGTCAGTCTCCCGCGGGAGTTCAGATCTACGATCCTTTGATTGTGGATCTCTCTCGTTGATTAGTTTTCATAGCTTTTCTAATCCTCTCATAACTTTCATTCTCTCAAACTCAAAACACTCGAAAGATCTTTACACTAGCTTTTAGCGTAGTGCATTTTGTTAAACAACACAATAGCTTTCAGCTCCCTCAACCTATTCCTCACCATGAAGATTGCCAAAAACGCATACACCAGCTTCGAGTCTAAGCGTCGCGACAAACCAATCCTTCCTCTCATCGACCTCGACGATGAATGCGAAACGACGATTCTCGCTCTACCACCTACAAACTTCGACTGTTCCAGAGATGCTAACAGCGCCAAGTACACCTTCAAGGTCCAAATCATCATGGATCTGAGACTCCACGTCAGACCATCAAGTGGGCTGGACGTATGGAGAAAGTCTTCGTCGGGCTCGCCATTGCTAGCCTGGCGACAAACATACCTCCTCAAGGAGATGACTTCTAGCTCTGCCAAGAGCAGTTACGAATCTAGCTGTGCAGGCCATCGTGAAATACGTTGGAATGCCTT